ATAGCTCAGGCAGGGTGGCCCTGGCAAAACACAGGTGGGGACTGACCATGGCCTGTATCACTTGATACCCAGTGGACAGCTACAGGCTAGGCTGGAGCACCACCACTCTGACCCTATACAGCTGATCCTCCACTGAGGGAGGTGGTTGGTGGTTAGTGGTCACAGCCAGTCCTTGCAGCTGACTGGCCTGGGTAAATCCTTCCCATTGACCTGCCAACAGCAACGAAGGCTCAACTACAAGAGGAGGGTGTACTCAGCTCCCATGAAGGGCACACCTCGAGTACCCAGCTTTGGTGATAGGGGGGACGGTGCCACTGGACCTTATAGGACACCTACTATATTAGGCTACACTACCAAAGCAGGGAGTCATAGCAGTTCTACCTAATACATAGAAACAAACACAGGGAGACTGCCCTAATGAAGAGACAAAGAAACATGGTCCAACTGAAAGAACAGATCAAAACTCTAGAAAAAGAACTAAACAAAATGGAGATGAGCAACCTACCAGTTGCAGAATTCAAAACGCTGGCTACAAGGATGTCAGTTGAGGGAGGCCTCTGTCCCGCAGAGTCTCTCCGGTCCCTGTGGATGGGTAAATAAACTGTACCAGACACAATTTGCCCGTCAGGAGAGGGGGTGGCGATTCCCCCCAGTGGAGAATGCCCCAAGCCCTTCTCTTGAAGTGGCTTTTATTGAGAACAATATGCGCAGGGGTACACAGCATGCATGCAAAGCCTATCAATCTACATCAAAAGGATGTAGATAATAAATTGAAGAAATACAGAGGTTTGTCTTAAATCAAGGTCTGTCAGACAAGTTGGTATCAGATGCTCATTGAGGCACAGTTTTCGGGGCTCAGAAATTATCTTCTTGTGGTGAAGTAAAACACCTGGTGTTTTCCTTACCAGGGCAGTGCAAAGCAGAGCAAGCTTCAGTAATTATGTTGCATTTTTTAGGTCAGATTTCCCAGGGTACCCTCCGTGTTAGTATTGGTCCACATGCCTCCCAGCATTCCTGGCTTTCCGGTGGAGGCTTACAGACAGGGGGCCTAGCTTGCACGGGGCTGCAATTCCCGATACCATACAAAGTGGTCCTCAACGCTCAAGGAACTTAGTGAGGACCTGAACAGCATACAAGTGATCCATCAGAAACAAAGGATACTCTAATGGATATAAAGAACAATTCATAGGGAAACAACAGTAGAGTGGATGAAGTCAAGAATCAAATCAATGATTTGGAATATAAGGAAGCAAAAAGCAGCCAATCAGAACAAGAAAAAAGAATAATTAAAAAAACAAAACGGGAATAGTATAAGCACCCTGTGAGACAACTTCATGTGGCCCAACATTTGCATCTTAGAGATTCCAGAAAGAAAAGAGAAAGAGCAAGAAATTAGAAATCCATTTGAAAAAATAATGAAAGAAAACTTCCTTAATTTGGTGAAGGAAATAGACAGGTAAGTCCAGAAAGCACTGAGTCCGAAACAAAATGGATTGAAAGAGGCCCACTCCAAGACACATCATAGTTAAAATGCCAAAGGTTCAAGATAAAGAGAGAATCTTAAAAGCAGCAAAAGAACTTAGTAACCTATAAGGGAGTATCCATAAGACTGTCAGCTGATTTCTCAAAAGAAATTTTGCAGACTAGAAGAGATTGGCTAGAAATATTCAAAGTCATGAAAGGCAGGGACCTATAGCCAAGATTGCTCTACCCAGCAAAGCTATCATGTAGCACTGAAGGGCAGATAAAGAGCTTCCCAGACAAGAAAAAACTAAAGGAGTTCATCATCACCAAACCATTATTATTTGAAATGTTAAAAGGACTTATTTAAGAAGAAGAAGAAGATAACTATGAACAAAAATAATTGGCAAACAAACAAAAAACTATCAACAGTTGAATGTAAAAAACAAACTAAGCAAGCAGGAATAACAGAGACAGAATCATGGATATGGAGAGCGTTTTGATGGTTTCCAGATAGGAGAGGTGTGTGGGGGAATAGGGAAAGAAGCGAGGGGATTAAGAAGTATACAAATAAACAGGTTGCGGAATGATACAGATAGTATATTCCTGCTTTTAAACACAATAAAAAAAAAAAGAAGAAGTACAAATAGGTAGTTACAGAATAGCCATGGGGATGTAAACTAGAGCATAGGAAATGGAGTAGCCAAAGAAATTATACCATGACCCATGGACATGAACAATGGTGGGGGGATTGTGTGAGGGAGTCGGGGGGTGCTGGGTGGAGCAGAGCAAAGGAGGAAAAATTGAGACAACTGTAATATAACCAATAACGTATAATAAAAATAATTTTGCAAAAAGGGGACTCCTATAAAAGATGTATGATTTTCCCTTGTAGAGCTGGCTTCAATTTGTACTCTTGTTCTGTTAGATATCCTAGGACTTTTCTATATACTGGCAAATGGCTTTGTGTATGTGTGTGCGTGTGTGTGTGGGTGTGTGTTGATATTAGAACTTTACTTTCTTTTAAAATTTATTCTTATTTTTTATTTTTAATCTGTGCCCTAACCAAGGATCAAACCTATAACCTAATTATGTGCCCTGGCTGGGATCAAATCCACAAACTTTTGGTGCATGGGAGGACGCTCTGAGCCACCCGGCCAAGGCAGGACTTTTCTTTATGACAGACACAAAGTACCACTTTCCCATGTAAAGGACATGTGTGAGAATTCACCATTTTCTGAATCCCTGTAACATCAATACTATTACATACTATCTTGAGTAGATGCTTTGAAGTCAAAATAAAGAGCAAAGTGTATTACCAATATCAAATATGTTAGCGGTTATGTTATTTTATTTTATTTTTCATAGTCTTTTCTTAAAGGGCTAAATTTCTCTGACTGGAATCTGACCCAAAGTTTGTGGGGTATACTGGGAAGTAGATAACAATGACAAAGGACTAACTTGTGGACTGGTTTTGCTCCAATCTTGTTTCTACTGCTTCCTACTTGTGTTAGGTAGTATCCCCTGCTGACTCACTTTCCTCAACTGTAAAATGGAGGAGATCACAAGGTAGTGGCAAGGATGAAGTGAGGAGTCTGTGAAACACCCAGCCAGCATGGTGCCTGACAGACAGAAGAACTCAATTTAAGTCTTGCTATTGTTAGTTTGGGACAAGTCTTAGATAAGAGTATATACTTTGTTCACATTTGCTCATGTGTCACTGGACCAAAGGACACAGCTGTAGCTCTCAATTATCTTGACAGAATGAAATAACTTCCTATGGGTCCTTTGGTTGTCTACAGAGCAAAGAAAGGTACTGGCTCAAGCAGAGGGGTGTCAGATCCTCCCTGTGCACTCCTTCGAGCCTCCCCACCCAAATTAGAGTCAAAGGAGAGAGATTTAGGCCCAAATTACTTATATAATTGTTTTGTTCTTTGCTTCTATAGCCACAGTAACAAAACTTCCAGATCCTTTTAAAACCAGGATTAATTCTCTCTCCAGGAGCACAGTGATATAAATTACAGTTGATTTAGTATAAAACAGCAGAGCGTCGCATAGAGAGCCCAAAAGCAAGCAGTGGACAACCTGGATCACCAGCTCCCTAAACTTGGGCAGCTCGCCTTCTCCGGGCCTCAGTTTCCCCAGTCACTAAAGCAACAGGGTTGTACTAGAACACATCCCCAAATCTAGAGGTTCATCCGGCCCCCGACTCAAAAAAAAAAAAAAAAAAAAAAAAAAGAAAGAAAGAAAAAGAAAAAAAAAAAAGCAAAGCAAGCGTAACCAATTTATTTTCTTTAACAGCAAAAAAAGAAAACTGTGCCTGTGAATACAGAACACCCGAGGGGACCAGACGCCGGTAGCACCCACCCTGCGGGCCCGCGGGCGGGGAACCGGGGCCCAGCGCGCCGCCCGGGAGCGTGTGCACGCCGCCCCGCCCCCAGCCAGCGCCGGCGCCCCCGGGGCTCGCGGCCGCGCGCAACAGGCCAGGGTGAGTGGAGCGGTCCGGGCTTGCTGCTTCGCGCCGCCACCGGCAGGGCCTGGCGCTGCCCCCGGGCGCCCGAGCGCGGGTCGGGGGCGGGGGGAAGGGGAGAGGATCCTCGAGGCCCCTTCCTGGGGCTTGGGCTGGGAGCTTCGGTGCGGCCGGGCCTGGGGCGGGGGGCGCCCGCCGACGTGCTGTTTGGGGCCGGGACAGCGTGGACGTGTCTAGCCTGACGCTGCCCGGGTCCAGGAGTCGGCTCGCGAGGGCCTGGGCACCGGGAGCAGCCCACGTGCTCCGCCGGCGGTCTGGAGACCGGGAACGAGCGCACGGAAAGTTTGGAGGTTGGGCCGGGAGCGCGGCCGGGCTGTGTGCGAGCGCGGCCGCCACGTGGGCTTTGCTCCTGGGATTCAGGTCGGGCCTGAGAGACAGGCTTCACACGGAGGAAATCAGGGGTCGGGGCGAGGGCAGCGGCGTCTCTCTGTCCCACCCTGACTTTAAAATTACAGCCTACCCTTCCTAGTCATTCATTGCCAGATTTTTCTAGAACGCTGCCCGTCAGTTGGTTGTCCAACAGGTTAGTCAGACCAGGCTGTGTACTGTGTTTTCAGAAGTAGAGTCCTGGGAGTTATGGGATCGAATTACTCCACTAATTAGTTATAAATTCGGCGCCAGGCTTTTGTTACCACTGGGCTTATGTTTAAGTGGAGGAGCCTGATTTACCCAGCTTCTTCCACCATCCCTTTGCCTCTCTGGCCCCATCCTTTGCAACGTCATGGTCACTAAAGTACATTAATGAGGTGCAGTCCATTTTTTCCCTCTAAAATTGAACCAGAAAAGTAACTGGTGATCACAGCTTTAGGTCAACAGGAGAACCAGTTTTCCTTCTCTGAACTGATAGACATTTCTAAGGGCCTAAACAACTTTGTGCCAGGCAACACATCATTTCTGTCCGGTAGGGGTGTGTGTGTATGGATTTAATTGAACTGAGTTCGACTGTCATCCGCTCTGTTAGTGGATCTAAAATTTATTTAGAGAACATACTATATTAATGCAGGTTTCTGGGCCCCAGCGGCCAGAAGTGCTAATCCAGTAGGCTTGATGTGGGGCCCAGAAATGGGCCCATGAACGAGCGTTCCCCGTTCGTTCACTGCACCGCGCTGTGAAATACTGCTCTGAAGATGATAAAGACACACCTCCCTCCCCTAATTGGTAATAACCACTGATGGCTAAGGTGCCTTTCTGCTCTGACAATGCTGCTGAATACCAAAGGGCCAGCTGCTGTCAGAAGAATAATCCGTACTGAACAAACCGTGTTTCCCTCGACTTTGTTTTCTGTAAGGCTTTTGAGATTTTTCTCTAAGATCATATACAAAATATGAAAAAGGGGGAAAAATTAACTCAGCAAACATTTCCGCGAGATCTATGTGCCACTGTCTCTGCTAGGGTCTGGGAGCGGGCAGATCAGCTGTCCTTTCCCTTATGAAGGTGTGTTACGGCTTCTTGTTAGCTCATATTCCCATAGACAAGGTTAGGACACTGTAGAATGGGTATCAATATTGATTTTCTTGTTGAGTTTTAATCCTTCAGAATTGTTTAGTTTATTATTTTTAAAAATCTGTGTGCAGTTAGTAAAATACGAACCTTGAATCTCTTCTTTTGATTTAATCATTTTACATTTTAGTTATTATAGTCAACTCAAATTGGACAATTGCTTTTGTTTTTACTTTTTCTAACTGAAATATAATTGACATAGAAATATAATTGACATATTAGTTTTAGTGGATGACATAATAATCCGGTATTTGTGTAAATTACTTCTTAAAAGCTTGCTTTTTTTCCCTTCTAGCTTTATAAAAATATTTACTGTCACTTCTGTTTGGGTGGTCTGTGAGATTTATAGGCAGGCTTGTGTGGGCTCTATTTTTCTGGACAAAGCATTCTCTTGGTTATTATATTTCTTAGATTCTCAGATATACTTTGTTACTGTTTCTGAAATTGGGATGCATCTTACAATTTTTTGCATGTTCTGTGTAGTGTGGCTGTTAAAAAGAATTGTTATTTTACACTATGGGTAGTGTGAGAATCAGAGAAACAGTATATTTTTCCAGTAACCTCTAAACTCGGTTTCAATTAACTGAACCTCAAATCAGTTCAGTGTGAACATAGAGAAACAATAAATGATGTAACTTTTGGCAGATTAAGTAGTGAAATGTATATTCTAACAAAAGCATTTGTTATGCAGTGTTAGGGTTTATTTGTTAGTGATTGTAGATGGAAAAAATCCTTTAAGTGATTTTATTTTTGGCTTAAGTATTCCACGTACTTTGTTTAACTATACTTTCTGGGGAGTGTGCTTATACTGTATTTATATACTCTGCTTAAAGAAAAACCTTTCATGTGTATCTTCCTGCTGCTCATATCCCTTAAATTTTAAACTTACTGATTGTGAGGGATAAGAGATGTGTGGCTGAATATGAGATTACTTTTTCATCCTTGGGTACTTTCAATGATACAAACCTTCTGAAACAATGTTTTTAAAAATTAAATGTGAGCAAATTATTGGGGCTCCCCAAGACCATTCCTGGGTTCAGTGGCTTGCCAAGACTTTCAGCTGATTGATTACAGCAAAAGGAAACCAAGTGCTTAATTGTTCCAGCAACTAGTTGTGACAGCTACACAGTTGCCAAACAGGGAAGCTCAGTACACACTCAGTGCCCAAGATTTTTTTTTTTTTTTTAATATAGGGAGCTGGTCACCTAAGTGCCCTCTGCCTGGAACTACCAAAATCCCATACTCCCAGAAGGAAAACAGATGTTCAGGATAAACCACATTGTTTGCACAAACAACTGAGACACAGTGAGTCTCTCTTACCATTCAAATAGAGGCGAGGAGTCCTGAACTTAGAATTCCCTGATGTCAACGTAAACTGGCCTTTCGTAAAACAACAGTGTGCTTGGCTAATCTGTTTTCATATCTGGGTTCCAAGTACTAGCAATATGTTGTCTCACTGAAGTCTTGATTCTTTGGTTGAGAAATCAAAATGGTCTGGAAAACTTAGAAGTAGGAAAGAAACATTTTAAGCAAGCTTTTGTCTCATTGATGATGTAACTTAAAATACTGAAGTTAGTTTTGGTCTAAGCTTAAGCCCTTACCTCTCCAATGCAAGCTTATAATATCTATTTTTATTAGTTTTCCACCATCACCCTGTTTCCCTACCAAAAGCACTTGATCTGATCTATTTGTGGGTACAAAATTTAGAAGCTGAAATGAGGTCACTAGTTTTGTATTTTGACATTTCCACTTCCCAATTTGTTCAGTTTACATTTGGGTTACATTCTAAAGGTTTATTTATAAACTAGTTTCACTGTATAACAAGTTGTTCCAGGGTTTATTCCCAGGCCAGACTATTTAATTCACATTATAGTTCAAATACAGCTTTGTTGTAATAACAAAGGAGCAGAAAACAGTGTTTTTGCAATTCTGACAGCCCAACAAACTAGGAAACCTTAATATCTATAAATAAGTTACTGGGAAAATTTGTTTTTTATAAGTGCAGATTTTTATAAGCTTTTTTTGGGGACAGAGACTCCTTTAAGAATCTGGTGAAAACAATGGACCTCCCACTCCCTCCCAGGAAAAAAAAAAGTTTAAATAGAAATTTGCAGTTTCAAGAGATTCATAAAATTAGAATTAGCATTCTTGAACCCCAGATGAAGGACGCTTGCATAAACGTGACTGTAGTTGTGGTTTGGGGGCAGTTCTGAGAGAGGTTTGGCAGTGCTTGGGAACGTTGCTCTTTCTGCTGCTCCTGTGTGGTCTGTGGACCAGCAGCGGCTCACTGCCTGGGAGCGCTAGTTGGAAACGCGGAATATCAGCCCCGCCTCAGATCTTGATGCCCAGGCATTGTGTGTGCACGTTCAAGATGGAGGAGTGCTGTGGCAGAGGTTAATGATGTTGGGATTTAATGTTGAAAAGTTACAGCTTTTTAAAGATTTGGGATATAACTATCTTTAGCCTTCACTTTTCAGTTCTAATTAGGGTTTGTTTGTTTGTTTGTTTTTTTTAAATGGGGGAGAGTTTTCTGATAAAGTGGCACTTCTCAGGAATAAGCTGAGATTTGGAAGCGAGGTGGTTCACCTGGTTGAGGAAGACTTGGGAGCAGGCAACTTCTTGCTGCGGCCACCAGATGACACCACTGGCCAGGACGTGTTAGTTGCCTGAACAGCAGGTGGGGGCAGGGGTTGCTGCGGTGAGAGCGCCTGTCAGTGGGCAGCTGTGGGTAGCGCTGAGTCAAGTGTTCGCAACTCAAAGTACACCTCGTTAGATTTGGGACGTGGTGCTGATTGAAGGCAAATGAAAGATTTTCGATTTCGCCGTGTCAGTGGCCACCAGTTAAAGATGTTTGATTTTGCTGTGTCAATGGCCTCAGGCTAAAGCTGTGGCTGGGAATTGCTGAGATAGTTGAATCATTTATGTTGGGATAATTATACTCCCTAATAAACAAACAATGGATTCTACAACTTAGTGCTTGTGTACTAGGAAAACACGATTTCCCTTAGATGAATATGTAATCTGGTATTTGAGGCCGAATCATACTTTGGAAGAAATTGTGTTGGCTTAAGGTTGTATCACATCCTGCGAGAACAGGCCTTGACTTACAAATAGTCTCATGAGAGCGTGATGGTCACGCAGTTGTGTGTGCATAATCTGCTAACACCAACACATGTTCTTTTTCTTTTGGTAGGTTTGCATTTCCTCACAGCCTTGTCTTGAAGACAGAACGATGCCAAAGAAAGCAAAGCCCACGGGGACTGTGAAGGAAGAGGGGCCTGTTCCCCGTAAACAGCTGAAGGTGGAGGCAGCTGGGGGGCCCTTCACTTTAAACTTTGACAGCCCCAGTGATTTGTTTCAAAGTTTAATTTCACCCATCAAGACAGAGACTTTTTTCAAGGAATTCTGGGAGCAGAAGCCCCTTCTCATTCAGAGAGATGACCCTGCGCTGGCCGCATATTACCAGTCCCTTTTCAAGTTACCAGATCTGAAGAGTCTGTGCAGCCGGGGTATGTACTATGGAAGAGACATAAATGTCTGCCGGTGTGTCAATGGGAAGAAGAAGGTTTTAAATAAAGATGGCAAAGTGCACTTTCTTCAGCTGAGAAAAGATTTTGATCAGAAAAGGGCAACGATTCAGTTTCACCAACCTCAGAGATTTAAGGTAACAGGTGCCCCACATTGTAGAATCCTCGTTTGTGTTAAAGTGTTACATTTGGCCACAGATCATCTCGGGCCACAGATTTGGCCACAGATCATCTCGGGCCACAGATTTGGCCACAGATCATCTCGGGGTGAACTTGTGGTTTGATGATAATTTGCTTCCCACCAGCTTGAGAAGAGTTAGTACCTAGCACCTGTTTCTTCTTCACATGCATCCCAAATTAGGAGACTTTGTTATCTTTTGGCTAAATTGTTAGAAAATGTCCAACGTTCAGGATGGACATGATTTCGTGTCATTAGAGCTACAAAAACTAAATTACACTGCTAGTTTATAATGCTTATTAAAGTACTGTTATGCTTCTGGGGCATGTTCTGTGGGCTGGTGTATGTTTTGGTGTGCAGGTAGACATTTCTGTTGGGTTTGTCCTGTCATAATTTAAGGCATGATTGCATCAGGGAGGTCATTTTCTTCTTGAAGTTCCCTCCCTTTACTGCCTGCATCGGCCTAGGCAGAGCTTCCGAACTGTGGCCAGGCGCATACCGGTTTTATGTTCAAGAAAGAGATTTCACCCTTATGGACAGCAGCCCACCCGCGTAGCAGCGAAGAGCCGGGCCCTGCAGGGCTGCTGCAGGGGTGGCAGTCACCCGTGTAGGGCAGCTTCGATTTGCAAGTCTGAAAGACTGGGTCGCTTTTTATTTTTCTACGTCAGTGATTGACATTTGAGAAATAATTTGCCTCCTCTGCACTCAGCTCCTGCATTTATAAAATGCAGACTCAGGATAAGCTAATATACTTTTGTAGAGGTTTGAGGTCTGTACATCACAGGTGGCCCAGAACAATCAATGGCCTGTCCCGGGTTTTAGTTTTATCCCCATTCAGAAATCTGCTTCTGTGACCCATGGCTGAATCAAAGTGACAGCATGGGAGGAGAAGGAAGAGCAGTTCATGAGGTTCCATATTGACGAGGGCAGTTCTAGCTTTGTTGGTGGCTCCTGGGACTTTACCAATAACGTTTCCCATGACTGAACCCAACAGACAGCTTGTTGGACCCCAGTATGCCCATCTGGTGCATAATCTGGTGAATGATTCCCTTTCTTGTCTAAAGGATCCTGAACCTATCTGTATTCTAGATAAAGTTTAAGTGCTCTTAGATTTTTCAGCAGAAATTCTGATTCCAGATATTACATCTTGATCATACAAAGTTAAAATGTCCCAGAAATGCCAAGCTTTTGGCCCCAGTACCCAAAAGGAATGCTAAACCAATAAATCACTTGCCAAACCAAGTCATGATTTGAATTCAGTGTTGCTTCTCTCTGAGCCAGTTCTTGACTTTTTACCTGGGTGGAAGCAGCCCTTTAAAAAATTTTATTATTTTTTGGAAGCAGCACTTTTTAAAATAAGGTTTTATTTATTTTGGGGGAGAGGGGAAGGGAGAGAAACATTGGTGTGTGAGAGAAACCTTGGTTGCCTCTTACATGTCCCCAGCCAGGGACCTGGCCTGCAACCCAGGCATGTGCCCTGACTGGAATCTAACCGGCGACCTTTTGGTTTGCAGGACAGCGCTCACCCCACTGAGTCACACTAGTCAGGGGTGAAGCAGCACTTTTTAAAAGAGTGAGTTGTAGATACCTAAAAACTATGAACATAAAAGATCAAAGAAGTTGATTACATGTAATTTGGTTACAGACTAGTAGAAAGTTATTTGTCATATGTGTGGTGTCCTCTTTGGCTGCCTTTTCTCTACTTTAGAATCATCTTGGGCTTTTCTCTGCTTATTTACTTAAGCCTTGGACATTCCTCCTTTCCAATTCCAGGTTGCCAGGAATGTTTCTGTTTTTGTTTTTGCTGTGTGGACTCAGCTCTTTGGCCATGTTTATTAAAACAGGAAAGATGAACTTCCTAAGTGTAAATTCAGTCCCCAGGCTAGACTAGGGCACACCCTAGTTTTTTGGTCTTTCCATTGTCAACAGTTGAGAGACCTCTAAGCTGTGGGAGCTCATCCTCTTGCACTGGAAGCTGGGTTCTGAGTATTAGGAAGTTTAATGTTGTGTGTATTTGTTTAAGAATGGTCATGGTAATATCAGGATAGAAAGTTTAGAGGCAGGTCATCCCCTTGTTTATTGGGTCTTAGAATGTGCACAGCTTATTCTAGTTAGTCTGGAAATGAGTCAACCAGAGAGCTGTAAGTAGGTGGGGAACAAAGTAAGTGTAATGTAATCCATATATCAAACATCTGGGTGAGTTTACCAAGTACTCACGTGCATGTTAACTTTTTTTTTTTAAGATTTTATTTGTTTATTTTTAGAGAGGTGAAGAGAGGGAGAAAGAGAGGGAGAGAAACATTAATGTTTGGTTGCCTTTTGTGTGCCCCCCACTGGGGACCTGGCATACAACCCAGGCATGTGCTCTGACTGGGAATCAAACCAGTGAGCCTTTGGTTTGCAGGGTGGCATTCAGTCCACTGAGCCACACCAGCCTGGGTTTGCATGTTAGCATTTGAACCTTCCAACAGACCTTTGAAATAGAGAAGTCATTGTGGTCTCCATTTTACATGTAAAAACCTGGAATTCACAGGTGTGACTTTTCATAGCTACTAAGGAAGGACTTCAGACTCCAAATTCAAGGCATTTTCTTACTATACTTTGAAAGGTGGTAATTGAAAGGTAGGGCTTTCATCATGTTTGTTTTTGCCTCTCTTTAGGTGTATGCATGGGCTTCTGGTCTGAGCCGTGCATTCAGTTTTGACTGTGTGGGTGAGTCTGGAGAGAGGAGGTTGTACCCAGCTGGGAGAGGCTTCCACCTTCCCATCATTGTTACGGGGTCCTCCTTGGCATCTCCAGTCATAATTGGGAGTCATAAGTTAAAGGAGAAGACAGATTTCAGGAGCCTTGGTTGTGGCTAAGTCAGTGTTGGGGAAGCAGTAACACTTGTATGTATTGCTTTGCAGTTTTAATAAGATTGGAGAGAAGTTATTTGTTTTTTGCTGTTACCCACAGTCTTAGGGTGGGAGTTTTCATTTTACAAATAAAGAAGCTGAAGTCACCTAGCTTGGAACTATAACTTGGACTGAAATTGATTGACTTCAAATCTCTGTGTAGTAGGCCACACTTGGCAGATTTAGAAGCTAGAGGCCCGGGAGAAAAGGGAAAATTGTATAGTTGATAGGGTTTTCGGTAATCTTTAAGAAGAAAAGAGACATAAACTCATCAATTACAGACCCAGATGTTTGAGCTGGGAGCCATAAAGTTGCCATATGGTCCGGAGACACTGAGCTCTCAGGCCATTTGAGAAGGGAGACACCCTGGCTTTCCAATGGTTCCAGTCACAGTATATGCAATTACAGAGCAGGGTCCTGCTGGCCCCTACGTGGTGTAAGTTAGACTCCTTGGGAGCACTAACTTGTTATAGCTGTTCAGATGCTATTACATTATTTTTCCTGTGTTAAGTAGAACCCTTGAGTGCTGAGACCTATAAATAGAGTAGCCCAGTAGTCTGTAGAGAGGTGCTTCCTGAAGTTTTTTTCATACTGACCCAATTCCCTCTCACTTGATATTTTTTTTACTATAGATCCCTTTTCAGTTCAGTGGTGGGACTGATTCCTAAGCTGTGGTCATTGGTTTAGTCAGCAAATACTTTACATGTTTCAGTGTTTTCTGTGTGCTGCTCAATATACATTCATATGCCTGAAACCTGGCTCTTCCGTGTCCTTTGACTTGTCTTTAAGATAATTCCTTAAGGCGGCATTATAGACTTGTGTTTAAAGGTACGGGCTCTGGAGCTAGGCTGTCTGGATTTGAATCCTGGCTTCATTATTTACCAGCTGTGTTCTTGTCTTGGTTTCCTCATCTGTAAGCTGATCATAATATTATGCACCTTATAAGACAGGGTTATTGGGAATGTTATGTAATTAATATATGTAAGTACTTAGAGACAGTGCCTGGCATATAGGAAATGCTGATGATATTTATGTGGCCTAATTTCTACCTCCCTCTATGCATCTGCCTTGGGAAAATGAGGTTTCTTTCTCTCTTGCAGGAATATATGGTTATTCTCTAGGCCCCTCAGCCTGACTTACACTCTCAAGTGACGGGAGAAGGAATTTACTTGGCCCCTTTCCTCCTTCCCTGTCTGTACCCACTTTCTAGGTTATTTCTTTACTCATTGCTGTAAATAATCAATTTTGTGCAGGGAATTCCCAAATGTACGTCTTTAGTTCTTACTTTTTTGCCAGAACTTTGGACTGACACAGCCAGAAGCTTGCTTAAAAACATCGCCACTTGGGGGTCATAGCAGCTCGTACTCAACATTTCTAATATAGAAATACATTTCTAATATGAAATAGGTATTTATTGACTTTTTTTTCCCTCCCCTTTTGAAAACTTGTTCTTTATCAGGTCTTTCCCATCTCAGTGAATGGAACTGGGAGCTAACTAATTGTCCAAGTCAGAGACCCAGGAGTATTTTTTCACTCTTCCCATTCCTTTACCCCTTTGTGGGTCCAATGCTACTTCAAGTGAATTTTGACTTTTCTCCTTTTCCCTCTCTCCTCCCACCACCTTGGTCGTTTCTTGCCGGGGCTGCTGCCTTAGTAGCTTCCCAACTGATTTCTCTTGCTTTTCAACAGTCCAATCACCCCACGATAGCCAGAGTGAGCTTTTAAAAATGTAAATTGGATCATGTCAATTCCCTGTTTAAAATTCTGCGTGACTGCAGATTGCCTGCCTTTCCAGTGTTGTTTGTGTGCTCACATCTTCCTGTGGTGTGTGCACCAGACAGAAAATTCTTTTTTTTTTTCTTAAATTAAATATTTTATTTATTTTTATAGAGGGGAAGGAAGGGAGAGGGAGAGAAACATCAATGTGTGGTTGCCTCTTGCACACCCCCTACTGGGGACCTGGCCTGCAACCCAGGCATGTGACCTGGACTGGGAATTGGACTAGTGACACTTTGGTTCACCAGCTGGTGCTCAGTCTACTGAGCCACACCAGCCAGGGACCAAACAGGAGATTCTTGAGGGCAGAGGTGTTGGTTCTTTTATTGCTTATTAATTCTTGGTATCTGGAACTTAATAGCTGCAGTAAAGGTTTGGTAAACAGGTAAGAATGTGTTCTGCCTCTTATTGCTAATGTATCTTTCACCTACCCCACCCCCCTTTCTTTTTTTTCGTTTTCTTTTTTTAAAGGATGACCTCTGGAGGATCCAGGAGAAGCTTGAATGCTACTTTGGCTCCTTGGTTGGCTCGAATGTATACATAACCCCTGCTGGATCTCAGGGCCTGCCACCCCATTATGATGATGTCGAGGTAAGAGAGGAAGAAAGTTGCTCGACTTGGAGAAGAAATTGCTCTGAGCCAGGTCAGGATGGTTGTCAGGGTTCAGTTCCAGGTCTCTGTTCCCTCTTCCTGTGTGGTCTCTGGAGCTTTTGACTTCACTAGATGTTGGGCTAAAGTTACTCCCACCAAACTGGTTTCCTGCTCCTCCTTCAAGTGGAGAGATTGTTTCCGACCTTATTACTATAAAGAGCCACACGTTCCTATGAAATAGGTATTTATTGACTTTATCTACAGAAAAGTGTGATTGTTTCTTTCCTTTAATTTACAACCTATAGCCTTTAATAAGGGGAGGTCACAAGCAGTCCTTACATCTGCTTTCATTTTGTCCTTTTTCTGTAGCTGCCAAAAAAAATTTTTTTTTTCCATTTGTGAAAATCGTGGGGCAGCTTGAATGAAGGTCATGGTTTCAATAAGCACTGGCACCTTGACAAGTGACAATTTCACTCCCTCGTGGCTGCTAAAGGAAAGTTAACTCTTTGGCTTAGGTATTTGGTAGTTTTATTTTTGTACCAATACAAGGTGTGAACACAGTAATTAGTAAAATGTAATTTTCCCCCTTTGAGAGCAATTTCATATCAACACATTTTCTAAGTTTTTGGTTCTTTAAAAATATATTTAACAGAGTATTAAAATATCTTTGGCTGAATGAAAGAAAACTTGAAGCTTTTCTACCTGCCAAAGATTATATTCAGGAGTATAGACATTCAGGCTTACTTGATGGTTGGCTTTTCCATCAGAGATTATAGGCTTTTAGCTGTCTGATAGAAGATTTAAAGGAATGAGATAGTGGATATATAGTGGGATATGGAGAACTCAGTATGGTTTCATGAAAGTGAAAAGAGTGAATATCCTTCTAGTATCAGGGTTCATGATTACCTGTTTTTAAAATTTAACACCCGTAGTGGCAGCTTTGAAGTGTAGAATAGAATGTATCTCTCATCTTTCATTTTTATTTTTTATCTGAAACTTGTAATTTGTCTAAGCCCTCGGAGGGCTAATATTCTGGAAGCACGTTGCCTCATGCGTTGTCAGGAAGCTCTGACACTCCAGCCCTGTGGCTCTCCGTAGGTGTTCATCCTGCAGCTGGAGGGAGAGAAACACTGGCGCCTTTACCACCCCACTGTGCCCCTGGCTCGGGACTACAACGTGGAGGCAGAGGACAGGATTGGGAAGCCAACCCATGAGTTCACGTTGAAGGTATGGGACTTCCATTGTGAGCGCCTCTCCTGAGACAAGTTTAGGTTTGAGGTTTACCGTTCATGTAATGGTCCCCATGGGAGTGCATCTGAGGGTTTGGGGCAGGACAGCTCATGCCAGCATGTGCAGCTTCCAGAGATTCGGTAACTCGTAAAAGGGAGCCAAGGAAGTACTAAGTTTATTTTCCAAATAATCTGCCTCCAAATATAAGCCATGTTCAACAGGAATGAATTATAAATTTGGTGTCCTCCGACTTCTCTCAACTCAAAGTGGAAGGTTTGGTCTTGGGCAGCTGTGCTGTGTCTAAGACAGTGGTCAGCCCTGGGCTGTAGGTTACTGAGGCAAAGCACAGGCTGGGACCCCTTAGTGTTTTTGTTGATAAAATTACAGAATGACCCATTTTCCTCTTGTTTGTGCAGCAGACTCTCTGTGCACTCTCCTCCCTTCCCCCTGCACATAGCCACCGGAAGAACAGTAATTATGATAGCCCTTGGGAAGTCCTCCACAAAGGCAGGTGGCTTGACTGTGTCCTGGATCACTGGCATCTTGCTGCTGAAAAAGTCTGTCTTTGAGCACTTAGCCTAGATGAGATCAGGGCCACCAGTTCCCAGCACGTGAGGTTGTTGAGAAAAAGTCTTGGATAAGAATAGCTCCATAGTTAAACTTTATACCTTTTCTTTTTTTAAAATTACATTTTATTGTTTATGTTATTACAGTTGGCCCAAGCTGTTCCCCTCCATTCAGCCCCCACTGCATTCCCTCAGGCAAGCCCCACACCATTGCCCATTTCCATGTGTCATGCATATTTGTTCTTTGGCTCCTCTATTCCCTATGCTATACTTCACATCCTCATGACTATTCTGTAACTACCAATTTGTCCTTCTTAATCACTTTACCTTTTTCACCCATCTCCACCGCCCCTCCTCCCATCTGACAACCATCAGACTGTTCCTATCTGTGATTCTTTTTTGTTCTGTTTATTTTTTTTTAGAGATTAAATTGTTAATAGATACTTATTGCCATTTTATTGTTTGTATTTTTGATCTTCTTTTTAAAGAAGACTCTTGAACATTTCATGTCATATTGGTTTAGTGAGGATGAACTTCTTCAATTTTTTCTTGTCTGGGAAACTCTTTATCCGTCCTTTGTTTCTAAATGATAGCTTTGCTGGGTAATCTTGATTGTAGCTCTTTGCTTTTCAACACTTTGAATATTTCTTGGTAATCCCTTCTAGCCTGCAAAGTTTCTTCTGAGAAATCAGCTAAGTGTCTTATGGAGGCTCCCTTGTAGGCAACTAACTGCTTTTCTCATGCTGCTTTTAAGGTTCTCTCTCTGTATTTAATTGTTGGCATTTTGATTATGATGTGTCTTGGAGTGGGCCTCTTTGGGTTCATCTTGTTTGGGACTCTCTGAGCTTCTTGGACTTGTATGTCTATTTCCTTCACCAACTTAGAAGAGTTTTCTTTTATTATTTTTTCAAAAAGGTTTCCAATTTTTGGCTCTTTCTCTTCTTCTTGCAACCCTAAGATGCAAATGTTGGTATGCCTAAAGTTGTCCCAGAGGCTCCTTACACTATCTTCATTTTTTGGGATCTTTTTTCTTTTTAAAATTTAATCTTTATTGTATTTTTTTTCCATTACTATTTAGCTCCCTTATAGTCCCCTTCCCCCAGCAGTCACCGCACCATTGTCCATGTCCGTGAGTCCTTTTTCCTTTTTGCTCAGTCCCTCCACCTCCTAACATCCCCCTGAATTCTTTTTTCTTCTTGCTCTTCTGATTGTTTTTTGTTTCCTTTTGTTCTAAATTGCTGATTCGATTCTCGGCTTCATCCACTCTACTGTCCATTCCCTATAAATTGTTCTTTATTTCAATTAGTGTAGCCTTCATTTCTGACTGTATCTTTTGTATGCTGTTGAAGTCCTCACTAATTTTATTGAGCATCCTTATAACCAGTGTTTTGAATTCTGAATCTGATAGATTCCTTTTCTTTTGTTTAGTTCTTTTTCTGGAGTTTTGTTCTGTTCTTTAATTTAACTCTGTTTCTTTGTCTCATTTTGGCAGCCTCCCTGTGTTTGTTTTTATGTATTAGGTAGAGCTGTTATGTCTCCCAGGCCTGATAGAGTGGCTTTATGTAGTGGTGTCCTGTGGGGTCCGGTGGTGCAGCCTCCCCTATTACCCAAGCTGGGTGCTCATAGTGTGCTCACTCTGGGGGCTGTGCACACCCTCCTCGTGTAGTTGAGCCTTGATTGCTTTTGGCACATCCAAGGTCAGTCATTGTTTCTGTTCTGTCCAGGGTCACACAGCATTAGCTACAAAGGGATCTGCAGATAGCTGCGTCTTGTTCTGGGCTTGCAGGTGCCCAGGTGGGGCCAAGCTCTGAACTGAGGTTGGCTGCTATTAGTGCCGGGCCTGGGGCAACTTAGCGAGAGGTATGGGGCAACTTAGTGAGAGGTATGGGACTCGCTGAAGCTGGATGCTGCTTGTTTGAGAGAAATTAGGAAAATCTGAAGTTGGGCCAAGACAAGTCATTCTTATGGAAAAACCACTGGAAACAGCTTGGATTGGTCTGAAAGTTGGGTGGGGCAAACAGTGGGAGCCAGGGAGATGGAGTGTTAGGTATGGAACCCACCTGCTGGCTCTGTGTTGGGGTTGGGGGGAACTCAGAAAAGGAACAATGGCCTTTGCCAGCACTTTTGTCTGGGAGAAAGCTGCTCCCAGCTCTCTCCTGATGATGGACAATTCAGTTCCTCTCCATATATTTATGATAACTTTCAATCTGCTGCCCTGGTACTGGAGCTCATAGGGAGTGAGTCTGAGTAAGTTTGTGCATGGGTCCTTTAAGGGGAACTGCCTGGGATTCCAGAAGTTTCTGTCTTCCACAGCCTCAATCCCTGCTGGTTTTTACAGCCAGAAGCTGTGGTGACTTCACTTCCTGGCAGTGGAACCCTGGGCTGGGAGAGCAAGTGTGGGTCCCTCTCATTCTTGAGATCTCCCTCCTGATTTTTATCCACCACTCGTGGGTGTAGGACCAGCTTGTTTCTCATCTCTGCCCCTCCTACTAGTCTTGATGTGGTTTCTTCTTTAATTCTGTAGTTGTAGGACTTCCATTCATTTCAGTTTGATGGTTCTGAATGATGGTGGTTCTGTAATTTAGTTGTAATTTTGATGTAGTTGTGTGATGAAGTGACCCATGTTTGCCTATACCACCATCTTGACTGGAAACCAGCCTAACCCTTAAATCTTTTCCTATAAAACATAAACTTAAATTCTTTCAGTATCAATAAGATAATACTTAATTCAAACCATTCAAAACATTCTGCCTTCCTGATATACTTCATATAGTTATTGTTTTTGTATTTCTTGCATCTTGAAGTTATAATTAGTGTTTAATTCTTACTCAATGCCTTGTGGCCCCTTCTTGATTTTAAAATCTTTCCCTGCCTACCAATAACTGGGGGAACATCTCCCTTTTTAGGATGGGTGCCTATATTGTAAGAGGCTTAACTGAACACAACGATAAAGGTACCTTTCACATTTTATGCTGTTGGTCAGCAGTCAGCAAACTATGGCCCATGGGTCAAAAAATGGCCTGATGCCTGTTCTCATAAATAAGGTTTATTGGAACACAACCACACTCATTCCTTATGTACAGCCTAGGACTGCATTCATATTACACCACAGGGTAGACTAGTTACCATAGAGATCATGTGGCCCACAAACCACAAATATTTATTATCTGACCCTTTACAGGAGGAGTTTGGCAGTCCCAGTCTTGGAGAAGTGTGTTTATCTAGGTTCTTTGTTGATTAGGTTTAGGCCAAAGACTAAGCCATCCATGGTCTCTGAGGCCAGGCTGAGTTATGCAGACTGATAGCTGGGTCCTCGCCCTGCCCAGGAAGGCTGGGCTTCATAGTGGTCTTCTGGGTAGTCAACGTGGGACGTGGAGGAGATGGAGCACTGCCCATTAATCACACCCATCCTGACCACAGTTCATTAGGACAAGCCCTGAATGTCCTAGAAGGAGAAAGAGCATCAGGGACTGCAGGGTTGTTCAAGTTGTATGTCTGTATACATGCGAGTCTTTAATCGGTGAACCTTTTCAAATGAGATCTTGTGTAAATGCCCAGTGTATGAACTAGAAAAGCTGAGTTGCTCTGATGGGGGTGGGCCTGGGGGCTACATAGATCCCGTCTCACCCCCTCCCTCCCTACTCCAGGGGCATGTGTGGCAAGTCTGCCAACCCAGGATCTGGGGGTGAACATCACCCTTGTAATGGAAACACTGCTCTGTGGCTTGGGAATCTGACAAATCTGGGTTTGAATTCATCTACTGTCACTTTGGAGCTGTGTATCCTTGGGCAAGTTATTTATTTAAATATGACTTTCATTATTAAAATGGAGACAGTAATATTTACATTGTAGGTTGTAAGGACTAAAAAATATTACTTTGATGCCTCTCTTACAGTGAAATTCCTTGGAAGATATATGTCAATATATTGCTGCTTATGAAATTACCACAAATTAACACAAACTCTGTTAGTAAAATTAGCACAAATTTATTTTTTAGTTCTGCAGTTCAGAAGTCCAAAGGGGATTTCACTTGGCTGAAATCAGCTATCAGAAGGTCTGCACTCCCGCTGGAGGCCCAAGGGGAGAATTAGGCAAGGGAGGCCCTTGCCTTTGCCAGCTTCTAGGAGCTGCCTGCATCCTGGGCTCCTGGCCCTTCCTCCAGCTGCAAGGCTAGCAGCTTGCAGCCTCGTCTTTCTCGTGCTGCCTTCTCTGTGGTTCTCACTTCCAATATCCTCTTTCACTTTTAAGGACCCTTGTGATTCCACTGGACCTACCTGGATAATCCAGAATAACCCCACCAGGAACCTTAATTTCATTTGCAACCTTAGTTACATTGTCTGTGTAACCTAAATATTCACTGGTGTTGGGGTTCAGGACATAGACCTCTTTGGGGACCCTGCCACAATGCCCTTGGTTTTCTCTCCTCTCCTCCTCTTGGGAGTCCCTCCCTGTAGGCTTTTCTTCCCACCATTCCTCCAGAACCACTCTGCTCAGGCTTACCAGTGACCTCCACATTATTAAGGACAGTGGTCAGCTCTGAGTCCCCATCTTAGTCTGCTTGTGGCAGCATTTGACACTGGGACACTCTGCCTGCTTTACTGGGCTGCCGGGATGCACCCTTGCTTGGTTCTTTTTCCACCTCACTGACTGTCCTAGCCATTTTCCTTTGCTCTTTTGTCCTCAGCCAGTTTTCCCACCTGTGTAGGTTAGTGGGCCACAGCTCATTTCTGGGACCCCTTTTCTCAATCCACAGCCACGTCTACGGTTTTAAATACCCTCTACACTGATGTGTCTTAAATGCTTTGTTATATCTTTAGTCCATGTCTCCAAACTCTAGACTCATCCAGCTGCCTACACACTGTCTCCATTAGAAAGATAAAAGGAATTGCAAATTTAATAGTCCCCAAATCAGAGTCTCAAGTCCCACCCTGTTCCCAGCCTCCTTCTTTCTGTAAATGTGTCACCATTTTTCTACTTGTTGAGGACAAAGTTCTTGGACATGGATTTATACAAAAGGGTCCTATCTGGCCCTGACTGGTATGGCTCAGTGGGTTGGGCATTGTGTCCCACAAAGCCAAAGGTTGCTGGTTTGATTCCAGTCAGGGCACATGCCAAGGTGGTTGCGGGTTGTCAGTCTCACAACCAGGTCAGTCCCAGCTGGGGTTTGTTTGCGAGGCAATCAATTGATGTTTCTCTCACATCAGTGAAATTCCTTGGAAGATATATGTCAATATATCTTCCTTCTCTTTCTCCTTCTCTTTCTCCCTCCTTTCCCCTCTCTCTACATATATGTTATTAAAAATCTTTTTTAAAAAAGCCTCCTATCTGGTGTCCCCTTTGCAGATTTTTCTGACATAACAGCCATAATGATCCTTTTGAAATTCAGTGCCCCTTTTGCCCACACCTCCAGGGACTTTGTACTAAACCCAAAACAAAAGCCAAATCCTTATAACAATCCAGAAGCCCCTATACTTGGGACTCATTGCTGCCTTCTCACATCACTTCCCATTATTTCCACCTTCACTCACTCCCCTTGAGCCACACTGGCTTACCACATGCTCCTCGAATGTGCCGAGTGCCTTTAGGCCTCAGGACCTTTGCACTTGCTCCCCACCCTCCTTGGAAGCCTTTCTCCCCAGGTAGTCACATGGCTGGCTCTCTCATTTCCTAGAGTCTACTAAAATGCCCTGCTAGCACAGCAAGTTTTCACTGATCATCCTGGATAAAATAGCACCTCTTACCCCAAACACCCCTGCCCCCCCACTTCGATCAACATCATTCCCCTCCTCCTTCCTCTACTTACTTTGTTTGCATTGCATTCACCACCACTTGACATTATTTATTTGCTACTTTTTTTTTTTTTTTTTGATCTTTCTTGCTGCACTAGTGTGTCTTCATTGTGTTTCTGATCTCCATTCTCAAATGTTTGTCTTCTGTTCTGGAATGTAAGGGCATAAGGGCAGGTCTTTGTTTTATTCAGCGCTCTATCCCTGGTGCCTAACGTGGGGCCTGGCATGGGGGGCGGGAGGGGAAGTGTTAATCAGATGTTTGTGGGTTGAATAAGTGAATGAATTAGTCAAGTACATATGTGAGGGTCTCATTCCGAGGGCTGGCACTGAAACATCCAGCAATGACAGCTCTAACTATGAGGAAAGCATTTATGTCCTTGAACTACTGATTTCCCTGTCAGTTTGGTTCATGGCACGCAAGCCACCAAGATAGCTCTATAATGTTTCTTGCTTTAAGGGAAATCTTAACATTAAAAAAAGTTTTTTGCTGTTTTAAATATTTATTTTTTAGAGAGGGGAAGGGAGGGAGAAAGAGGGAGAGAAACATCAATGTGTGGTTGCCTCTTATGCTCCCCATACTGGGGACCTGGCCTGCAACCCAGGCATGTGCCCTGACTGGGAATCAAACTGGCGACCTTCTGGTTTGCAGGCTGGCACCCAGTCCATTGAGCCACACCAGCCAGGGCAAAAAAGAACAGTTTTTTAAATCTGATATTTCTTGAGCGCTCGCTGAGCCAGACTGTTTCCTTTGGTTGCAGAGGGTGGAGAAGCCGCTCTCAGGGGCCGCTCTGCTCTCAAGTGGCTGTTCCGCAGACTGTTCTCTGGGTGGGATCAGCGGGGAGGTAGCTCAGGGCAGGAATGATTTGGGGAGACTATTTCTGTCCACTGGCTTGGGAGAGAGCCAGAACAGGGTAGAAGAGGCTCACCTGCCCAAGAAAGTGCCTGATCTTTAGTTACATATAGTTTTAGGTTCAGGTGAAGGGTTATGTGGTTTTTCACCCTTTCATTCAAACATTCCTTGAGTCTCTGTCACTTGTGCCAGACGGTCTAATAGTTTAGGCTCTGGGAATATAGGATGGATATAGACTGTGCCTTGAATACCTCACAAACTGGCAGGGACTGGTGGGTAAAATAATAGTAATAATACAACCCCACCCCCATTGTTACTGCAAGAGCTTTGGCTACAGTGTCTCCTTAATCCTCAAGGTAATCCTGTGAGATCTGGGGCTCTTGCCTCCATTTTACTGATAAGGACACTGAGACTTTGGGAGATTAAGTATTTGCCAGCATCACCAGTAAGTGGCTGAGTCTGTGTGGCCCTAAAGCTCCTACTCTTCCCTGCGCCGCTGAAGGGTGGAGAGGGAGCAGCGTGCTTCTCAGCCCTGAGTGTCACCTCCCAGGGTTGGGGCGGAGTCGTTTCCAGGCATATATGGTTTTAGTTTGAGAATGCAGTGACTTCTGGCACTGACAGCTTCGCCTGGCCCGTGGGTCACAGTGACAGCCTCACAGAAGCTAAACCGGCAGGGTCCCTTGAATCGCTAAACAGAAGTTTACAGAATGGAGAATTGAAATGCAAAGCCTTTATTTGGCTCCGTGAAACACAGAGGACTGAGAAGATATTCTTAGTAACTCTCTGTTCTTTTTCTCCCGTTAGCCTGGCGATTTGCTGTACTTTCCCAGAGGGACCATTCATCAGGCAGACACTCCTCCGGGGCTGGCCCACTCGACTCATGTGACCATCAGCACCTACCAGAACAAGTAAGCGCTGCCTCCCAGCGAAGCATCGCAGGACAGCTCTGAGCGCAGGCTCCAGCCGCCGCCCTCAGGAGGGGCGTGGGGGAGTGGGCCACTGCCCTCCCACTCATCCAGGCCTGGGGGTCTTCAGGCTCCTTGGCTGACTTCATATTCCTTTAGTGTCCTTTCTGTGTTTTATTAACGGGCCTGGGCTTCCTCCCGGAATGTCAGGCACCTGACTCTACAGCACTGGCAGTTTTCCAAATTAAGGCTCCCCTAGTTTGGGAAGAGGGAACCATAGCTGCAGGTATGTTAGAGATGTCAGGCTGGGCTTAGTGTGTGTGTGTCTGTGTCTGTCTCTCCCTTTGTTTTCGAAATATTTTTATTGTGATAAAATATATACAGGGGTGGGCAAAAGTAGGTTTAGCCCTGGCTGGGTGGCTTGGTTGTTTGGAGCATCATCCCCAACACCAAAAGATTGCAGGTTTGATACCTGCACGTACCTAGGTCGTGGGTTTGGTCCCTTGTCAGGGTTCATATGGAAGGCAACTGATTGATGTTTCTCCCTCATGTTGAGGTTTGTTTCTCTCTTTCTCTCTCTCTCTCCCTTCCCCCCTGCCCCTTCCCCATCTCACTCTTCTCTCCCTCTATCCCCCTCTGTCTCTTACTGTCTAAAATCAATAAACATATCCTTGGGTGAGGATTTAAAAAAAAATCATTCTTTAAAAGTAGGGCTACAGTTGTGAGTATGCTATTGTAATAATAATAAAGCTATTGTAGTAATCATAACCTGCATGTCTTTTTCCGTATGAACAGTTGTAAACCTACTTTTGCCCACCCCTGTATAGCATGGAATATGCCATTTTAACTATTTTTAAGTGTACAGCTTGGTGACATTGATGGCATTCACACTCTTTTGCAACCATCACCGTTGTCTGGTTCTAAAACATTTCCGTCATCCCAAACAGAAAGTCTGTAACCATTGAAACCACTGGGTCTCTCTTAAAGTTTCCACTTTTTTATAGTTTAAGAAGCTAAAGCAGGAATGGTAGTCTGGAGCAGTCAGGCCTAAAAGTACATGTGCTGAAAACAGTTCTCGTTACAACCTTGTTCCATTTTGGCAGGTGCCTTGTCACATGACAGGATCTGGGTGGGAGCGCCTTGTGAATGATTCCCTAATGCAGCAGCCTTGCCGGTTCAGATCTCATTAAAAACACCAGTCGTCATTTATTCAGTATGCAGGCATCAGACCCTGTGCTAGTTTCTGGGAGTGCAGGCACTGCACTGAAGGGGCTTCGAGAGAACTTAGACCCTGGAGGTGGTGGTAGGAGGGAGACAGGCATGCAAATAATTACCAAGCTGTGATAAATTCCATCGTAGGTGTGCAGAGGAGACTTGCAGTTTCCAGGAATGCACTAAGCAAAGCAGGGGCGTCAGTGAAGCCTTCAGAAATGACTTGACTCCCAAGCTGAGTGAGACTTAAAGGATGAATCAGAAGGTGGGTCAGAAGGTCAGAGTAGGAGAGGACAGCCCAGGCCCAAGGGACAGCAAGTCTCTTACCTTCAAAGCTGGAACTTGCAAAACGAGTTTGTAAGCATACTTCAGCTTCCTCATCTGGCCTCGCAGTGGGAAATTAACCCTGGTGTCTAAGAGACTAGACGAACTAGCTGGGTCCTGGCCTGAGGTTGGGGCTGTCTTTGCCCACACATAAGTGGAGAGCCAACGCTCGTGTTAGGCGTCCTTTATGAAAAATACCCTTGTCATTGTGTTTGGGTTGGGAAGTTACTGAGGCCACCTCGAGAAGAGTGGCGACAATTGAGGGAGTGGGGCGTAGCCACTGGAGCAGGGCAGGCCACGGTGAGACTCGAACCAGAAGTTCATTCTGAATCCAAAGGGGCTCGGGCCTTGGCAGCCATGCAGTTTGCCCCGGGAACGTAACATCCGCGCATCTTCCCGTGTACCACTGTTAATGTTACATAGCCACGCCCCCTTTCCCGGCTTCTCGTGTCATTTCACCTCTCTTATTGCCACCATCTGTTTTCCAGTAATTGGCTTTCTCTCCCTTGTTTTCTTTCTTCTTTTAAAAAGAGTTTATTTATTTATTTTTAGAGAGTAGGGAAAGGAGGGAAAAAGAACATGGATGTGAGAGAGGCACATTGATCAGTTGCCCCTCGTACGTACCCTGACTGGGGACCAAATCTGCAACCCAGGCATGTGGCCTGCCTGGGGATTGAACTGGTGACCTTTTGCCTTGCAGGTAGCTGCCCAGCCAACTGAGCTGTACTGGTCAGGGCTCTCCCTTGTTTTCCTTGCTCCGCTTCTGTTTACTTACAACAGTGGCTCATCATAAGCCATCGTCACTTCTCCACCTTCCCCCATCTCATTGAACCCATTAGCTTTTGCTTCTGCTAAGTACCTGACTCGCTATTTCCCAGTCCCAAGAATGAAGATCGGTAGCCTGCCCCTGGGTCCCACCCACCCCTTCTCTGGTCAGCAGGGGCTGGGGAAGAGCTAAGTTTTGGCACCATGACCAGTGTCCTGGCTGGACTCGTCCGTGTCAGTGGTGATGGAGCTGGAATGGGAAAAAAGGTCGCTTGAGGGCCACTGTGCCATAGAGATGTCCCTGTGCTTTGGTCCTGGTGCTCCTTAAGGCCTCTCCCTAACACCTCTTTAGGGTGGCATGTTGGAACATTTGGGGCCTGCAGTGTGGGACAGCAGCAGGTGATCTGGCTGTTTTACCAAAATGAACTCTTTACGAGGTATTATTCCCAATTTTGGAAAGGCCCAGGATCCATTCTGCTTCTTAGAAGAGCACAGAGCTCTGTTTCACTGCAATTAAATTCCTCCAGGCGCTATTGCTGTATGGCTTCCACCTGTGACCCTGCTGAAAGCTCTGAGCGTGTCCTCCTGGTTGAAGTTCAATCAAAGATGTGAGGCTGCAAAGCAGTGAGGTCTCTGGGCAGTAGCGGATGTCTTGGGCAAAGTGCTCTCATGTGGCTTTTGTCCTCCTTTGCCACTTGCCTGGGAGGAAAGTATAAATGTGTTAATTTTGCTTATTGAGTGAGAAGCAAAAGTCATACTGTGAATTTCCATTTTGGATGTAGCCAGCAATTTGAAATCTGCTGGTAACACAGAGGGAAATTTTAAACAGCTAAGAAATGTTTAAAGAGAGCGAACTCCCAGAGTGTGTTTCTCTCATTGTCCCACTTTTGGGAGCGAGCCAATTCTGAATGCCCCCAAGAAAGCAAAGTTAATTGAACACCGCATGGCCTCCCTAGATGCTATTTTTGGCCACTGGCTTCTACTTCCTTCTCCAATAAAGCCATGGCTAGAGTTTAGCAAGTTGCAAGATCAATTCTTTTGAAATTGATGTTGCTGGGTATTTTGCTGAGGAAGAGTGTCTCTGTTTTATAAGGGACAAAGGAAATTGTAACATGTAACTGCAGATAATTACACAGTCCAGGGATCTTGCTGTTACCCTAAATGTGTAACATTTGGAGTTGTTGCACATAAAGGTTATTTTTCGGACCTATAATGATTGAGTGCTAAAATTTCCTACAAAGCTCTCCTCATAGACACTTGTTACAGTTAAAAACATTAAAAAAATGGTCCCTTAAACTTTCTACTTTATGACAGTGTATATTCATTCCCTGGTATCTTTAAGAGAAACCATGAATGAAGCCTAGCCTTCAACTCTCCACGTGGGCGTCGGGGAATGGGCAGGAGGAGAAGCAGTGGGATTGAAGCCCCGTGTTTCTCTGCTGATAACGGCAAACTCGGTGAACTCCGAATGCCTGGGCAGGGGAACTGGAATGCAGGGGACGCTTCCACAGTGTTCGGCTTTACTGGGAATCAGTGTGCTTTGTATGCTTTGTGTGTGTTCACTGCCTTTTTTGTTGTCGCTGTGTGTTACAGTTCATGGGGAGATTTCCTTTTGGACACCCTTTCGGGGCTTGTGTTGGATGCTGCAAAGGAAGACCTGGAGTTCCGGGCCGGCATCCCCCGGCAGCTGCTCCTGGTAAGGCGTCAGGGCAGCTGAGGAAGGAGGGGGATTTGCAGCCCCGGCCGGCGGAGGCTGTGGCCGAAGGCCTAGGGACCGCAGGGTCCTTCCTCTCACATCCGCCATCGTTTCTGTGCGGACCCTGCTGAGCGAGAGGGCCTTCGGGGTGAATGGAGTGTTGCACGTTATGGGGCCCAGGGAGCCCACAGTGCTGTGCAGACAGCCTTCTGCCTGCACTTCGCGGTGGCAGTAACAAGCATTGTGGACAATGTTGGCTGAATAAATGGTGCATAAACAATGTGGCTGGGAGGACTGTCGATTCAGCACACGAGATGACTAGTTGGGAGAGGCCCCCCGGAGATCCTGGCCTTGGTGCTTCCCCCGGCTTTCTGGTCCGCCCTGGTTTTACATCAGAAACAGCAGCAGTGTTTAGCCAGGTTTGAGAAGATGAGTGAATTAGTGCTGAATTGGGCAAAGGTTACTTTCGTTGTCTGAAGCAGCCACTTTTGGATAGTGACTTGCTTTCCAAAATGCAAGAACTGAGACTGTACATTTCCAGGGATCCCTTTCCAGGCAAAATCCTGAAAACTGATCCCCACCCCCCCACCCCCGCCCGCCAAACAACAGGCAGCTTAAGGTGAACGGTGGTTATGAGGAGATAATGGGGTATTTCTCTTAGGGATTCTCCTCTCCCCGACTGCCCCCTGCCCACAACCCTGGTAACACGGATCTGTGTCTACACCAGGGACTGTCCTGGAGACTGGGACCCAGGCTGTGAGTTCTGCCGGAATCTGGGCCAGGACTCCCCTCTGTGTTTTTAGCAGGTGGAAACCACAACTGCTGCAATGAGAAGACTAAGTGGCTTTCTGAGGACACTTGCAGACCGTCTGGAAGGCACAAACAAGCTGCTTTCATCAGACATGAAGAAGGATTTTGTTATGAACAGACTCCCACCTTACTATGTGGGAGACGGAGCAGAACTTTCAACTCCAGGTGCAGCTTGCTGTTTTCTTCTCCGTGGTTTGGGGCTAGTGTGGGATATTTGGAGGCTTTCCTAGGTGGGCACCTCTTTGAACCGATGGAAGGTTGAAGCATTTTAGAGTTAATGCGGAGCTAGATCTGTCTTGTGTGCTGTGGTTGGACAACACGTGCTGCCCTCATGCCTTAGCACCCTGCACCTCACAAGTCATTTGCAAAGACCTCGCATCCCTGCATGATGGGGAATAAGAGCTCTGTAATTTTGGGTGAGATATATATTTATTCTGTGTATAGGTATTCTGGTGTTCATCATCTTCAGGACGTTTTAAGAACTTGAACATGGAGATACTCTTGTTGGCATTAACTCAGGGATGGGTGAAATGTTGCTGTCAACAGTTGAAATGCAAGAATGGCCAGGGGTATCACTAACCTTCCCCAGGTCCCAGGTGACTTACTTTGTGACAGGTTTAGGCTGCAAATGACAACAGTGATCCTGGGATGGTGATTTCGCTGTCCTAGTAGCAAAGGCTAGCAGCACCAACTCCTATCGTTGGACAAAGTTGGGTTTATTGACTGTTCCGATGTAGAAGACCACACACACCGTTGGGAACTGTAGGGCATCTCAGTGAAAGTTTGTTGGAAAGGACTTAGAGGATCTGGGCCAAGTTAGGTGCCTTTCAGGAGGCTTTGAAGCAGGGCTTTGCTCTGGGTTGGATGCCGTCAGGAAATAGGGGCTCTGTGACTGGGCCTCTTGTATACCTTACCTGGTAGCAGGAGGAATGGAATGAAGCTGAAGATACAGCCGGTGAAGCACCAGCTGTCCCTCAGATTAGCCAGGATAGGGGGCTGTTTGGTCACATTTGCAGTTTGGATGATCTTCTTTTGCCTGAGTTCTGACATGATTAAGGAGTGGTCTTGTTTTGTCTCGATTCTTAGTCACAGAGTGGCCCTGTTCGTTAATGCTGGTCTTCTGCGGAGCTGTCTCATGAACATTGAGAACATTGAGGGACGGCTGTGAGTCCAGGCCAGGTTTCAGGCAGCTTTCCTCTTTCTCAGTAAGGTTGAGTGACAGTATTATTTTTACTAACTTTTATAAAAACCTTATTTATCACCAGTTGAGAATCACCGGAATAAACCATCTATACGGTCCCTTCTAACGTTGATTCTATTTATATTTTTATTTATCTCCGGGGGAAGTTTAGGATGTTTTTGAATGCATCTATTCAAAATAGCAAATGTTTTTTTATCAGGGCATGTTTTAATCTTTATACAGAACAGAGTTTTCTGATTATCAGTTAACAGTCTGGAATATTTTTCTTCACTTAAGACTCTTTTCCCAACCAATGACCCTTTAGGGCTAGCCTGTTTGTAGCGGGTCCTATTTCACTAGGTTATGTTCAGTTCAGAGAAGTTCTTTTTTTCCTGTGAACGCTACTAGGTGGCTTTTATCTGACATTATGCTTGACCTACACAGACTGAGTAATTTGCCCTGGTCATGCAATGAGTAATTGGTGGGGTGGTACAATTTGAACTCAGGTCTTCCCTCTAGAGGCCACATGAAGAATAAGCAGCAATAGAGGATGGAAACTGGAACTGGAGACGGGAGTGTTCTGTGCAGAAGGGCAGGGGCCTGCCTCTTGTGATAGCTACTGGGCATCCATGGTATTAAGTCTGTGTTTTTTAATCCTCACCTGAGGACATTTTTTTCATTGCTTTTAGAAAGAGAAGTGGAAGGCGGGGTGGGGAGAGAGAGAGACACTGACATCCATATCAGTTTGCTGCCTTCTTGTACACAGCCGTACCAGGGCTTGAACCTGTAGCTTTTTGGTCTGTGGGATCATGCTCCTATAGAGCCACACTGGCCAGGGATGTTTATGTCTATTTAATGTACTTACCGACTCCCATTGTTATCTTATTGTATGTCTGTCTTCACTATGAGAATGTACCTCACAAAGATATAAATTGTAATGTCACTATAAATGTCAGAGTATGCGCATACCTGCGTTGGAGAGGGCACCCCATGTTTGGATTCACTGCAGATTGTTAGTGTGTTCCTTAAATAGTTGCACCTGCAAACAAGTTGGATCCTGCTGGTTTCCGCTTCTGAAAACTGGCTTCTGTCTCTGGAATTTTCTAGGTGGGCAGTTGCCGAGGTTGGACAGCATAGTGAAGCTGCAATTTAAGGACCACGTTGTCCTCACGGTGAGGCCGGATCAGGATGGATCTGTGAGTATCCGGAGCGGAAGAGGGGTCCACTCTTCTCGGGGCCCTTCCTTCACAAGCCTAAGGTCACCAGACTAACAGATGGCCCCGCCCTTCTCCTTCGGGAATCCATCTGTTCTCACAGCTCAGTGCCGTTACTTCAGAGAATATAATGCCCAGCCCTCACTGTTCCAGATTTTCCTGCCTGTTGGGCATTTGAGGGCTCCCCCACAGAACCCTTTTTCATTTCTCTCCTGTAGTGATCAGTGTCTGGTCTCTGCCCCCCAACTAGGTTTCAGGCCATCTTGCTCGGACAGCTACAGACCCTGTTCATGCATCTTCCTGTCTCCGCCCCTCTCCCATCCTGTACACTGTGAAGATCTGTCTTTACTTATGGTTTTGTTGATGTTTCTTCTTAAAAAATCTCTATCCTGTAGGATGATACTCTACTTTCCCTATCCTGGCCCAGTAGTTCCCTAAACTGGCTGATCGTAGAATCAGCTGGAAAACTTTGTTAAAGATTATAAGTTCCTGGGCTTTATCTGGTCTGGGTTAGAGCCTCTGCCTTTATTGTTAAATCTCCCTGTACAATTCTAAGGACCCTTGGAACTGTCGCATGCCCTGTGGCTTTACCCTGTTCCTCCTAATCAGCTTTCTTGGGAGGGCACCCCACGAATGACTGGAGGGGCTGAGAGTGGCACCTAGATGTCTCTGTGACCGGACTGTCCGAGCCATCAGGGCCAGATCTGCAGGGGACTGGTTTCTAACATATACAAAACCCTCAAAAGTACGCATCTTGGTTTAAAAAAAAAGAAACCCTAGTTACTCTGATAACCAGTCAGTTTGGGGATATTCTGTATCAAGCCAAAGTGTTTGACTCTTGTCTCAGAGGCGACAAGGGAAGACTAAAGGCTCTGGAGGAGAAACGGCCCTGGGTAGGATGGGGAAGGAAGGGGAGTAGAGGCCATCCGGGAGGCTCCTGTAGTTGGAGACCGCATAGCTGGTGTGTCTCGAGAGGTACCGTATTTTGCCATTGTATAAAGCACACTTTTTTGCCCAAATTTTGAGGGAAAATAAAGGACATGCATTATACATGGGTATAATGTTTATATCCCCGTCTAATAACGGGCATAATAATCCGTGTATAATGTGCACAAAAGATGTGGGTGCACATTATATACAACAAAATAGAGTAATATTCCCTCCATGGGGTGCATACGTTTTCAATTTATATGTATCTAGGAATGTCCAATTTTGATGCAAAAAAGTGGAGGTGTGATGAAGACACTGAATGTTTCGTTAAGTTGCTATATAAATATTGTTGCTTTTTCATTGAATCAAGTTCTTAAAGATGCTCCAGCAGGTGTACTGTTTTTATCCATGATTTGCTACACACACAGGACTATAATGAAATAATATACACACACATATCACAACTTTTTGCCAAAAGGATTCCTTACAGTATTTAGTAAATTTCGCTTAAGTGCCAAAGCTTTAAAATTTTTCCTGGTATTGATCTATGTTATTGGAAAACCTTCCTAGTCATGAAGCCCTTGACATTCTATTGATGATTTAATTTTTTTTTTTTTTTAAAGGATGAAGCTCAAGAAAATATGGTTTACGTCTATCATTCCTTAAAGAATAGGAGAGAGATGCACATGATGGGAAGTGAGGAAACAGAGGTTTGTTCCAACCTAAAGCAAGTGTTTTTCCCTGTGATTTGGTGGTGCTTGGGAAGCCTCTGCATGGGGATGATGGAGTCAGACAGTTCTGTGAGATACACACACACAGACCAGCTTTAAAAGATACCAGCTGGATCATGTAGCCTTGTTGGAAAGGCATAGGATGCCTTTCATGAAGTCTGTGTTTTCATATGAATTGGCAAATTCTGTAAGTTGTCTAATTATAATTTTTGTAGATGACAGCCTCACCTATCTGGAGCAAGTATCATATTTGTGAAGGATATCAAAAATATTGATGTACTAAGAATTTTGGGAATTTATAAGAAAATGACACTTAAGAGACATAAGTTGTATTTTATCTGACCAGCTTATCCTTTTTCAGTCTCATGGACTTCGCTTTCCCTTGTCTCATGTGGCTGCATTGAAGCAACTTTGGAACAATTCGCCTGTTTCTGTCAAGGACCTGAAACTTCCTACAGATGAGGAGAAGGAAAGCCTGGCACTAGCCCTCTGGACAGAATGTTTAATCCAGGTAGTCTAGTGCCTTCACTGAATCAAGTGTCTCGTGTTTTGTATCTACACAGTCAAAGAAAACCTGAGATTTCTGTGCTAGGGAGCTCCTGATGGTCTGAGTCAACAGACTCGGCTGGAGGAGTGGTTATATACAATTTTACCTATGTCTGTCTCTAATAATGCGAGACCCACATGTAACTGGTGGTCATCTGGCCATATGTTCTCATAGAGGCACGTGGAAGAATGGCGAGATTACTAGGTGTCTAGAAAGTGACAAAACCATACTTTTGACAAGTTTATTTAATCCAGTGTGGTAGAAAAGGCACAACTACAATAAATGTATCAATCACTTAAATGTAACAATTGTTACCTGTCTTTGTTCTTTGGAAGTAACTTCTTTGAAGAGCCTCATTGGCTCTAGAAAAATTTTAAACAATTAACATGAAGGAAAAAATTTTAACTTGGTTTTTTACAATGACAGTATACATACCTTATTGTATACACAAGCACCCCCTTTCAAATAAAGTTACCCTTGTAAGTTCCATTAAGGAATACTGCCGCACTAATGAGAGGCACTCGTATCTGTGGGCGTAAGGGCGTACAGATGCTGCTTTGAAAGATGACAAAAGAGCCTGAGATTAAAGGGAAAAACCCCCTCAATATTTACATGGAAAGACCAAGTCTCTATAAAAAAATACTCAAAATAGTGGGTCTTTGAGTTTAAACAATTCACTCTTATTTTACATTCTAAAGTGCATATAGGTTGATATTTTTAAAAATACCGTTGGAGAACTTAATCTTTCTATATAAAAATTGAACAGAACTTTTTCTGTTTTCTGGCAAAAGTTGGGCATGGAGGAAGTAGTTGGAAGTAGTTGTCTTGATGTCAGTTTAAGACCAACTCTGGAGGGAAAAATGCTTGTGAATTGTTTAGTTAAAGGTGGTAATGATTACTTGAAACTAAGTCCAAGATGATGTCCTATCTGATTTTGCTTAAATAGAAGCTATTTAAAATGGGAGTGAAAAACAGTTTTCTATCATTTCTTAGAACATAAACATTTTTGTAGTAAAATGGTATAGTGAGGCCTCTAATACTTGGTTTTAATTTGAACATTAGAAACTTCCAGTTACTTGAGGCAAAGGAAAATCTGTCTCATATGTAGGTGACACAATCTTTATAAACATTTCTTGAGGGCAGATCAGGCAAAATCTAGGGTGAGGTCTCAGCACCAGGATAGGTAAACATTGGTTAGAGTCCTGTGGCCCAGAAGGCTGTCTTTGTTAATACTTGGAGCTCAAGGATGGTCACAGGTTATTTGTGCTTCTTTAGTTGAAGGACTGAGCAAAGAACGGCTGCAAAAAAATACTGCAGTATTTAAGCCTTTTTCCTAATAAAGCTGAGGCCCCTCTCTGGGGTCAGTTACAAGTCTGAATACTTATGATGCTTCAATTATAAAAGCCTCAATAGAAAACCTTTAAGGTTTAGCTAATATAGCAGCTTAACAGGAAGGTTTATTAAATATGTCTTCAAATAGTGCTAAACATTACTCTTTTCACAAAAGTATGACTTGACCTATAGGAATAGATTTCGCTGCGCCTTGCACTCATACACGCATCTGCTGGGATATTAGTAACTCCTGCAGGGACGACAGCCCCACCAGTGTCCTCATTAGTGGCTGTCAGGACTAGGGGTCGTATTTGGTGGCTAGGAGAGAAAACATCCTTCAGGAAGCCTGCTCACCCAAACTGGAGATCAAGTAGGACTAGAACCTTTCCCAGAAATCATGGCATATTCTTCATAGGACCATTGAATAATTGGCAAGAGCATTCTGAGCTTTCCCCTTGGTAAACGGCAATAGTCTATCAGGGAGCTTCATCAAAGTTCATCCTCAGAGATCCAGGAGCGCCAGGACAAGCAGCTTCCTTAATGAGGGAGGTGCGGTGCCTTCTTCCCTTGCTCATTCTAGGGATGCTGCTAATTCTCTCACAGTATTTCAATGTCCCATTTCTGTGTTTCTTCTCCCTCCAGGGGCTGATTTACAATTACATGAGTCTTGTCATAATAATTTCCTCCTAAAGTAGAAATTGTAAAAGAAAAGATTATTTGTTCACAAAGGTGCTTAAGAGTTTCCACAGGCTTTGTTCAGCCTGTTGTTTGGGGAGATTAAAATGTCATTTACAAAGTGGTCTGAAATAGGAAACTGAATTTAAACAGGCTTAGCTATTATTCACCTCAAATGGGACCTTACTATGACTCAAATGGAAAAACAAAGAGGTAAAATAGGCGGCTGCATAAGCAGCGTGCTCCAGCCGCGTGAGTCTGCCAACAGAGCGCTCCTAGAGCTCTGGCCAGTGGTCAGGTTCTAAGTTTTTGCTTCTACACCAACAGTGGCTGTGGCTAACCCAATTAAAGCAACAGCTCTGAATAATACTGGGCCCGGCCTTGCTGAATTAAAAAACAAGGTTAAATACCTACCATAAGTTTTAACTGAGGGCTTTGAAGGACTATAGCAATTCATGGCAAAAGGTTAATGTTCCTTTCTAAGAAACATGGTATATTATGGTTTGATGTCCAAATTTAAAATTCGTTGCAAAGATCATAGAATGAGCAAATAATTTTACAATGATACTAATGAACAAAAACCTCCTTAGACTTTGTCTTTAGCCTTTTTCTGCTTGATCCACATAGCTAAATGTTTTGTTAAAACAGTGTATCTTAGCTTTTTTCACACATAAAGTGATGTAATGTTTTTCCTACACATAAGGATTTCTTTTACCCAGGAGGAGGAGGAGGAGGTTTGGAACTTAAAATGGTATCTGGAAACACAACACCCTGGGTTTCATCGCAGGCCCACCTTTAACATCAAGGACAAGTTGGTCGCTGAGATAGGAGCTGATGGTTCCGTTTCTGTTTAGTCTCCACTTCTGCCTGAATTGCCCGTGTTCGGTCCATAGGGCTACTTTAGCTCCGGGCGTGTCTCGGCCACCAATCACATCGAGACAAGTATCAGTGGCCTAAAAGGGTTTAGAAGGACATTGGCAGTACTGTGTTTGCTAAAAAAAAGTTGAATTGGGCCCCCTTCCTTTTCCCTTTTTTTATAAATTATAAGAGTTTAGAAAGTTACAGAGGTAGAAGTGAGCCAGCTGGGCTGCACAGGCTCAGGAAACGGGTTACACAGACAAAAGAAGGGCCCCTGGAGCTTAGGAGAGAGAAAGGTAAAGGTGACAGGTGACACGCCTTGGGAGTCTGGGGGGGGTGAGGGCTGGGGGAAGAGGCGGGGGAAGGGACCGGTATGGGCCCCCAGGAGAGCGCATCCTGTGAACAAGTCATAGACGTTAAATGACTGTCTTTATCTAAAAAGACTACTCTACAGCATAATCTTAGTAAGCTTTATAAAAAGTTGTCTTTGTGGCTGAGGGGAGGAAATAGTGCAGAAATAAACCTGAAATAGAGGTACTTGTTTTTAAAAGGACGCCGGCCTCTGACAACAGATGTTCAATAAAGGTTTGTTGAGTTGGAATTAAATGTTAAGTCCCTGTTAGCTTAAATGTATTAGGTTGAGCTTAGTTTTCTTAATGCTTTTCATTTTTGTTGAAGCATGAGAAAAAATGAGTTAAGCCACCGGTGAAACAATAAAACACACTCGTAATGTTTTAAAATTTTAATTCTATTCCCCATAGCATCAAACATAATGGAGGAATCACAGAAAAACAGAAACCTAAATTTTATTTTCTAGGCTTTCTGCAATACAGCTTTCATCATCTATAATTACTTTTTTGTACATTTTGAAAATGAGAAAGTTTCACCATGTTTGGAATCCCAAAGGCGGCAGATTGTCCGATCTGGATCCCCAGCGGCTTTTATCATTGGTCTTAAAAAAATCACTTAGGCATATTCATAGTATGTGATCACCTTAGTTTTTGCTTTAAAAGAGAAACTGAATTTTCTAGATCAAAAAATTTCTAAGTCCAGATCACTTACATGCTTTAGCAATATAAATACCAATATTTATATAATCATGGAACAAACTGTTTCTAGGAAGTTACATTATTTTAGATGCCGTTTGATTTGTCAAGATTCTGGTTTCCAAAAGAAAGGGCCCCAAACCAAAAAGCAGGGAATGGCAGTGGGGGGCTGGTTACCTTGGATTTGAAGAGCCCTCGGCAGTAGTGCCAGATCTGGGTGTTCTTTCCGCTGTGGGGAGAAACGCACACAGATGTTGCCCTTGTGTCGGCTGCACTTCCAGTGACTGTCAGATACTCATTCTGGGCTCGGTTCCGTATTCTGATATACACTGCAGGCTATGATGGGGAGAAACAGACGCATTTAGAAAATCCTGTTAAATCTGGAAATCAGTCCTTCCAAAGAGGAAAAGCTTGGAGGGACGTGAGTGGTGACGGAATTTAGCTTATTTACAGGAGTTTCACTTGGTCCCTTTAGCAAATATGTATAAATTAGTATTTTCCATTGACAAGTCCTTAGACCACTGAGCACAAAACTCAAATTGAGCAATCTCTTAACACTTTTCAGGGGAAAAAATGTCCTCTGGAAGAGTAAAGGTAATAACTTTCATTCACCGGAATTCCAGGGTGGTAAAGAATCAGGGATTTGACAAGTTAATTCAGTAACTGCTGTGCCCTGTCTGTGCCTGGGGAGGCAGGGGAGTAGGAATGATAGCCCAGTTCCGCCTACAAGGGTCTCACAGTGACTTAGCACAATAATCAGACATACCATCCTGAGCCAGGATTAAGTGCTAAATAACTGCTATGGGAGATCTTAAAAGACCCAGGGAGCTGAAGACCCTAGTATCTGTGGTAATCTCTGTTTATTACATTTATACATTCTTGCCCTTTACACATTTTCAAAGAAAGAGACTTTGCATGTTTGTTCACTACTTATTCAAAATTGGGTAACAGGATTTCATCCTCAGGACCTGGAATATACATAGAAAGTTTTAAAATAAACTATTAAATATAGGATTTGTCTGTAAGAGCTAATATAAAAAGGTTAGTATATGTCAGTACACTAAATGCTCTCTGGGCTATTGTATTATCTGTCAGAATTAATAACCAGAACAACCCTTTAAGAAAGTACATTACCTGAATTTTATAAAGTTAACATGGATGTGGAGAAACACGGTCTCTATGCACCCAAACCCTCCCTCATATAACCAGGATACTCTAAAGCCTGTGCTGACCAGCACTCCTTGCTCTTAGACACAGGGAGTTCGAGACCAATTCTGAAGGTGCTAGTCGGTAAGGTGATGAAAGGACAGCACGTGACTGAAGCTCCGCACACACTGTTCTTTCAGTCCCTTGACTTGGCATCCAGTCCTCCTGTGATAAAATATAGGACACTCCACCCCGGCCTTGGGTCCGGTGTTGGAATCTCAGAACTTTGCAAATAACAAATGGTCTGTTATTTAATAAGGGAGGACTTTCACTCTGAGAAATATAAGTTCTAGGTAAGTGCAACCGGGTATCATGGTGAGACCAACAATAACTTCTGTTTTGAAATTTATGGTGGATCAACATGGGGCCCCTTGAATTTTGGTAAATTGCTACCATGTTTAGCCTTCCTAAGGAAATAAACACTCTGAACACTTAAGCAAATGGACAAATTTTTATCTGGTCATTTAAAGCGAAAGGTTTTAATTGTTTCAAACCACAACTTCCACATTCATAATGTAACAGTAATGTATTTAAATTTCTATAATCCAGCCTGGTCTCCCACTACAATTATTAATTCACGAGGCTTCAGTATATCTTTAAAAAAAAATTCATTCACCCATTTACTCACTCATTCCTCACCCAAGGACATTTTTTTACTGCTTCCAGAGAGAAAGGAAGGGAGAGAGAAACATCAAGGTGAGAGGGAAGTATTAACTGGTTGCCTTCTGTACACGCGGATGGGGGACCTTACACATCCGAACCAGGGATAGAACCCACAACCTAGGCAGGTCCCCTAACTGGGATTTGAATTCATAAACTTTCAGTTTATGGGATGACGCTCCAGCCAAGCCACACCGGCCAGGGCAGGCTTCAGTATATCTTTATTACAGTTTCTTTACCTCGTACATGTAAGGCAACATGCATGACCTTCACAGAGGTCAGAGTTCCACTTGTGTTAGGAACAAACAACAGTTTTAATCATTAACTCAAGCAAGGCACTAATTAACTCTTATTACACACTTGTAGTCTGACTCCTCTGTAATTATACTTTAAAACACTGATATGCATTATAATTGCCTTAGTGACTTCCCAATTCCCAACCTCAAAGAGAATCACACTTTAATTATTCCTAAATTTCTAGACAAGAATATGAACTAAGCAGTACCAACAGCCTTACTAAAGACGATATGACCTATAATACTATTTTTGAAACCAAGAATTTCTTTGCTGGCTTTCAAAGCTGTGGCCTAAATGAAAACAGTTAAACAGTTAAAATACTATTTTGAAATATTTAACCAGAATAGGAATCAGGTAATTCCTAAAGCACATTGCAAGAAGAATAACGTGTAAAATGTAGTATAAAACATCTATGTAAAATTAGAGGCTATTCTATCTTTTTAAAAAAATCCTAAGGAGCATATTTTCATTGGTTTTTAGAGAGAGAGGGAGGAAGTGAAAAAGACAGGCGCGCTGTCAGAGAGAAACACCAACTGGTTGCCTTTCGAGGTTCCCCACCTGGGGACTGACAGGGGATCGGGGACAGGGAATTGAACCCATGACCTTCTGGTGTACAGGATGATGCTTCAGCCAACTGAGCCACACCAGCCATGGCTGTTTTGGCTATCTTTTGTACTCAGGACCCTGAACAATGGGCAGGGACATCTTCACTAGCAAGGAACCACCTTTTAAAAGTGAGGGAAATATTCTCGTTTCCTACAACATAAGGTTAAACATTTTTGTATGGTTGTAAAACCTACGTGGAACTCCCACTTCTGTCTTGCTTTTTCCCCATGGCTTTTCAATGGGATTACCCATCATCCCCTGTGCCAGGAGTGAGGAATAAGCAAGCTGTGAAGGTCATGAGATCCTGTACACATGCTCTTTGCCAGGAAAGGCCACTGATGTCTAATATCTCTCAGAAGAGCATCTGATTCTCTCCAGGGAAACTGTAAATAATACTTGCAAAATAAATGTGTTCTTCTCATAGTATGAGCCAGATGTTGTGCAAATTCTTTGCATATATTATTTAATCCCCACAATGATAGTGAGAGGTAAGCAATGTAGTCACTGCCACCAGTGAAGAATGTGAGGTGCGAAGAAATGAGGTGACATAACCCACTCAAAGCCACACACTTACAAGTGGCAGAGCTGGGATTTGAACCCATAGAACCAGAGTGATGGGAATGAACGTGTGTGTCTGTGAGGGGGGCGAGGGAGAGAGAGGGAGGGAGGGGCAGCAAGCCCAATTAGGTTAATTTTTTATTGGCTACCATTAATTTAACACTTAATGTGTCAGATTTGAACATGGGAGCCTCAGCATTTTTATCAATTATGGAACACTGAGCTCAGTGCCTGGAATATATGCAGCACTCTGTAAATACTGATCTTATTTTGGGGGAAAATGGAGTGCGATTGCCTAAGAACAGTCTATAGAGGACAATCAGACAATCAGTTTGGGTTCAAATCCTGGTTCTGACACTTGGAATGACTTTTGCCAACTTGCTTTACCTCTCAAGCCCTATTTTTTCATCTAGGAAAGGGGAATAACAACTCCTGCCTTAAAAAAAACTGTTGTTGGAATCAAGTAAGAAAGGGTTTTCTAAAGGGGTTAGAGAAAAGTACAAAGGGCATATCCGCTGACCATCGGACCCCTGACAGCCTAGTTTGGGCTTCCCACCCGCCCGGAAACCTCCTGCCTCTCCCACGCACGCTCATGCTTCCTTTCTCTGAACCAGGCGCCGCCTGTGGCTTTCTGATGATCACACACTGCTTTGCATTTTTTACTGTTTTGAGTTGGATGTTTTACAGCCCCCAAATCATCTCTATCCTTAAACCTCCGTAATTCTTTGCATAATGTCAAACATTCATTCATCATTTTTACTCTCTTTCCTTCATTAAATAAATAGCCCTTGAGCTCCTACAATGTGCCAGGCACTGGGGTAGATGATTAAGCAAAATATGCCCAGCCCCTGCCTTCACGAGGCCTGCAGCGGAGTGAGAGAGTGCCCAATCTGACCATGCCTCTGGTTACAAACCACATGCAGGGGCTGGCAGACAAAGAACCAGGTCTTCCAGGATCCGATTTAGGTTGGGAGAGGGGGTGAAGCAGGCATCCTTGAGGACCTGACCCTCAAAATGGATTTACAGAGAGGAGTAAGCAGCAGCCAGGCAAAGAATGAGGGAGGGCCCGTCTAGACAGAGGGCAGAGCCCGTGCTGGGAGCTGAGTGGACAGCACTCTGTGTATCGGTGCATGTGAGGCACCTCAGGAGTGAGAAGAGCCGTGAGACGAGACTGAGCAGCTCACACGGCCCACGCAGTAGTTGTGCAATAAATACGATTTTAATGAAACTGCCAGGATCCATCCTGAGTATTACATAAATGGGGGGGAAATCCAAGTATTTAGAAAGTGAAACTAGTGCAGTCTCACAGTTCATCCTTGTTTCTACTGCTTGCTGCAGAGCTTCAAATACCTTAATGTTCTATGAAGTGAACACGGTCACTAAGACTTTGTATGAAGAGCTAAAATCCAACACTGACCTTAGATACAATTTTAGGAACTGGTTAAAATCTACAGCATTTCCCATTCTAATCCACTCCCCTTGCTACATAAATGGCAACCTAAATGAAATGGTCAGTATTTCAGATGCTGTGGTTTGTGATATTTCTTCTAGAAAATCAAGCTATTTTGGATGGTATGGTTCTTCTCTCCTTACCTGCTTCATAGGACGGAGGGAACCAATTGTTTTCCATCCACTAAATGCTGTCCAATTTGGGATCTCATTAGGCTCGAGCAGGATTTGTCTTCCCAAGAAATTGGATCCTTCATAAGCTACCCACCTATATGAGAGCAGGAAAGAAAAAAGGGAGGTACTTCAAAACGAAAGGCAATCCCCATATTATACCATGGAGGGTTCATTTTTTAACATCTACCTTTGTACATATTTTTAAGAAGAGAGTATGTAATAGTATTTTTTTTTTAACAGGAAAAGCTGGGATGACTAGGAGAAAGCCCGTTGGACTGGGGCTCAGAGATTTGGATTCCAGTTAGGATTCTGGTGTCTTTACTTCCAAACTAAGGTTCCCTCTAGCTCTAAAATTCTGTGTACCTTTGATAATACCAAGTCATTTTTCATAACATTTTCATTTTCAAAGGTAGACCCCTCACTGTCCCCCAGCTCGAAACCGGTTTACTGTCCCACTCATCTCAGCGTAGGCTCGTCGCATCATCACATGTCCTTCGGGGCTCCGCCGCTCCGCCGCGGCCGCTGAGGGTGACTCAGACTCATCCCCAGAAATCCCGTCTTTCCCTCACTCCAAGGCCTGGCTGCTTTGCACATCCTTCTCAGTGCTCAGACCAAGTCAAGGTGTGTACATGAGCCCAGGGCTTCTGGTGAGTGTCTGGGGTCTCAGGACATTTAATGGAACACAGTCATGCCCATTCTTTTAAGGACTAACATCAGCTGCTTTCCCACAACAATGCCAAGTTGAATATCTGTGGCAGAAATGACCCACAACCCGAAAAGACCATCTGGGCCTTTGCAGGAGAAGTTTGCCAACCCCTGCTTTGGGTGGTTATCAAGCTAGACAGCTAAGGAGAGTAAGCAGTGATGGCCAAGGGGATCTGAAATTCTTAACAGGACGCAAGGCCACCTCAGAGAGCACTGTGGTTGGCGCCATTATGGGTAGATGAGCAGCCTGGCCACACAGAGGCTCGTCCACGGCGCCAGCTGCAGATTCTTCAGATAAGCAGGGAAGTTTCAGTTACAAAATCTAGGCAAGATTTTAATAAACTACCTTATTACACAGTCATCTAAATGAACTGCACAGTTGAAAGCTGTGAGGGATGGTGTGCTAGGCATGGCCCTCATTGTCATCACAGATCAGAGAGACAGAACAACAAGGCGATTAAACAAAACTAAACACGACTTGCCCCTGAGGGCAGCTGGCTGGCTCTGCGTCCGGCAGGATTCTGTGAGCCCGCGCGGCCTGGGAAGCCCTTCAGACAGCCTTCAGGATTCCTTACTCTCTGCAGCAAATCTCTTATAGAGAAGCCAGACAGTGAGAGTAGGTGGATGATCAAAGAAAATAAGAACGTCAACGTAAAATGGCACCAGTTTTCTACAAAAGAGTGAAATGAGATCGTGTGAAGTTTTCAGAGATGAGTCAATATCAGTTTTAGGAATGTAAAGAAACAAAAATGCTGGAAATGTATAAAAATCCAGGGATATGGACTTCAGTTCAAACAAAGTGTTAAATAATATACTGGACTATAATATGGGGATTATTATACTTAGTAAATTAATTTATGTTTAATAAACACCAAACCATGTGAAGAAAAACATTTAAAATGCTATTATATGTGAATACAAAAGCCATTTATTATAACAGTTGACTTAATTTTCAAATCAATTTATATTCTTGGCTTTCTCTTTCATTGTCCCCAGATATTTAAACATGCAGAGCTGATTACACAATTTATAAGTCATAAAAAATAAAAAAAGAGTCCTCTTTACATTAATCATGGAGGCTGTGTATGTTTTTTAGTTGACTTTTGATTCCAAAACACCAGCAGCACAGGATGAGGGGCGGGCTGAGAAACCAACCTTCAGAATGACCTGAGAGGCAGATTTTCCAGGAAGCAAATTGAGCTTCTGCTTTATGGCCTTTCATTTGCAAGGTCTCTTACCATTTTGTTCTAAATAAATATGCAAAGTTCATACCTAATTTATGTATCCTTAATTTTCTCCTTTTCCTTAAAGTAGCCTCCCCAGACTGTAAAAGTGCAAGCCCCGGCCTCCAGCCCCCAACCCCCGGAGTACCACCCAGCACAGCCTGAATGGAAGCAAGGCCACTGGGCAGGCTTAGCCAAACCAGAGGACACTCCGCCTGGGAAGAAGTACCCCTGAGCAAACAGCTCTCTAACAAACAAGATGTCAAATCAAAACATGGTGAAACACTACTGGTCTTACAAATAGTCACTATCTATTTGTAGCCAATGGTCTCAACCGAAGTTGCGGATTTAATTAGGTTTTTTCAGAAAGGGAAGTGGACGCAGGCAGTTTTGGTCATCTGACGGACCTGCCGGCGACATGTGCCTGTACACAAGGCAGCCCTTCTGTCCCAAAGGGCTCTTTCCCCAGGAGACAGGGCTCACAGCCTGTCCTTACTTACACAGAACCTACTATAATTATGCTGACAGAGAAAAGGAGTAAGAGCCCCATCAGATCAAGATCCCACAGCAGTGAGGGAATAAAAAGCGACTTTGCGACCCTGTCCTAAAGCCGTGGCTGGAGCAGGCCAAGCCCTTCTTCTGTACTTACAGTCCACTCTTTATCCACACGGACTGCGTGTAGAAGTGCAGGTCCTTGTTCAGAACAGAGTTCACAGCCTCTTCTAGATGTAGCTCTCTTCCCTCACAATGTTCCAGAGCAAAAAGGCTGATGGAGGGTTCTTCAAAAACCTAGCAGCACAGAAAGGGGAAAGCATCACCACACGGGGCGGCCACGCCCAAGGGACACCCAGTCGGGACGCAGGGCACCCGGGATCCGCTGGGTTCTCAAATGCATGTAGTTTCCTGCTCTACCTCTAAAGATGTTTTAGTCAAAGCTGCACCGGTGAGAGTGGATTCTATTAACTTCTATTCAGTCTTTTAAAATAAGTTTTGGAAAACAATCTCATTTTCATAATAAAAATGGACACCTGCTTCCAGTCACATGTTAAGGGCTACTAATGCTTTCAGCTGGTAACAGAACCAACATGGCAGAGAATGGCACCCTCCTTTCCCAGCAGGTCACTGAGAATGCAGACTTCATGGCTCTAGGCTCTTAAAAACATGCCTAGGAGCGGGAGGAAGGCATTTTTAATTTAACTACAAGTCTGAATGCACTGGGATACGGGGTGATTTCTGCATTGCAAGTACTCCCCAAACCCTCATGTTAGACCAAGAACAGAATCAATACCGCCTTTTCATTCCTTTGCATATGCAAGACACCATGCTAGGATTCTTTTGGGGGATGAAAAATCGGAGTAATTGTAATCTATTTTGTGGACAATATTTTAAAGTCTCTTGTGAGCTAAAAATGTTTTTATTTTTTGTGGCATTATGTTCAGTATTTATTAAGGCAAACTTAAAACACTTCTGTTTTTCAAATTTTTGAAACCTTAGGATGTCATGGCAAAGATATGGAGAAAAGCGAATCCTTGCACACTATTGGTGGGATTATAAATTAGTGTAGCCACTAATGGAAAAGTCCGGAGAGCCCTCAAAATATTAAAAATAGACCTGCCATACAATTCAGTAATTCCATGTATGAGTATTTGATGAAAACAAAAACACTAATTGGAAAAGATATATGTACGCTTATGTTCACTGTGTTACTAGTAACAGCCAACATACAGATGCCATCTAGATATTCCTCATTACAAGAGTGGATAAAGATGATGTGATACATGTCACACACACACACACAAACAGGAATATTTTTCATCAGTAAAAAGCAATGAAATCTTGCCATTTTGTGACAAGGTGGAGGGACCTAGAGGATAGTATGCCAAGTGAAATATACCAGACAGAGAAAGACAAATATTGTATGATCCATTTATGTGGATTAAAATAAAAAGAAAAGAAAAAGGAGAAACAGAGATAGAACAAGCTACTGGTTGCCAAAGGGGAGGGAACATGGGGGTGGGACTAAAAAACAGGAAATTAAGTAAAAAATAATAAAAAGTAAGCTAACAGGCCTGCTCCACATGTGGGCAACTGAAAAACTGGCAGGACGCCACTGAGAAACACTAATGGGTTTATGCTGGCTTTGGTGGCCCTTTTCTGTATTTCTTGTAGAAACAGGAAAACCTTCGAGTGGGCAAGGGGCCATCCCCAGCCTAGGAATTTCCTAGTCAGAGACAGGACCCTTTCTGCCCTTGGGAAAAAAAATATTTGATGAAGAGAAATAAAGGAAATTGACCTGTGGTGATAAGGAAAAATACAAACAAACAAACAAACAAACAAGAAATCAAAGCAAGGCACCATTCTATGTTTAAGGCATTACTAACTAGTGGCTAAATCAGGAGAGCTGCACAGGTGCTGTAACATACCCAGGGCGGGAAAGGATATGCCCTGGGAGAGTGCTCAGTGGAGCACTAGACTGTTTTGAGCAGAAAGGAGCAGGATTCAAGGAAGTTTCATGGATGCGGTAGTGTGTGAGGTCAGTCTCTAGTGGATGCAGTGGATCTGGACAGGCCTGGACAGAGTAGCAGGATGGTGCCTCTGTACAAAGGAAGGGAGACAGAAATTGCCTGGGTGTGTTAGGGGTGCAGCAAGGCGACCCATTTAGCTAGACTAGAGAGTCCAACAGGAAACAGGGTCACATGCTCCCACTGTTTGCTGCTGTCTACTGAGCTGCCTGCTTCTCTTCCAATACTGACAGGGCAGAAACAGGTCACTGTGGCGGGGGGTCCTCGAAGGCTTTAGGATGAGGGACTGGGACTGGGCTGAAGTGTCTGTAACTTGTGCATGAGAAGCAGAGCACTAGCCACAGGCACTGTGGATGGTCAGTGAACAGTCAGTAGCGAGAACTGACTCTCACAGCTGAACTGTAGATATACTTGTGTAAGAGCAAAATAAATTATGAAATCGTTCTTTCTTACAAAGTGTTAGGAATAACAAAGGATGGGGAATGAGTTAAATGTCCATCAAGAGGGGACTGGTTGAATAAATTATGGTACATTCATAGAGGTATTCTATACAGCTGTAAAAAAAGAGATCATATGAAAGATCTATACGTATAAGATATATTCTCCAGAAGCAACTACTAAGTGAAGAATAGTGTAGAATAGCATACTTCCTAGGCTACCATGATAAAAAGAAGGGAAAACTTATACATGCGCGTATACACACACACCCATATACTTGTATATACATTAAAGATTTTCTTAAAAAAAATATAGAACTAATCATGACTGCCCTTCAGTAGAATATGCTTTGAGAGGATAAAGGGCACAAGTAGGAGCCAACATTTTTTTTTTTTTTTGTTTTTGAGTGAGGGGAAAAGAGAAGGAGAGGGAGAAAAACATCAACATGAGAGAAACATGGGTCAACTGCCTCTCATATGTGACCTGATCAGGGACAGAACCTGCAACCTAGGTATGTGCCCTGACAGGCAATTGCACCCGCAACCTTTAATTTGCGGGATGCTCCAACCCACTGACCCACACGGGTCAGGGCAGGAGCCAAGCTTTTTACTACATGCCTTTTGATACTTTTTGATTTTTGAACCATAGGAATATATCATTCACTCAATTTAAATGGGTAATTATTATGCATATGTTTGCATATATGTGTGCATTTGTGTGTACTTTTTAAAAATGGCCTTCAGGAACTATATCTGGCAACAATATGAGTGAAGAAAAGAGAGAATGGAAGTAAAAGTACCAGCACCTGGAAGAACACAACAGGCCCAAGACAGAACCAGACCTACCACGGGGGCAGGTGTGGACAGTTAGAATTGGTGAGTAAAACCATCACAGTGACAAAAGAGACATGGCAAACAGATGGAATGAGTGAGGAAAAAAGTGTGGGGAGTGTGAAGGTGTGGCGGGGGGCGGGGTACGGTGACTTCTCAAAGAGGGAACTTGGAGGGGAAACATGCTGAGGAGCTAAGGACTTACACCTCAAAGTGGATGTTTTAATGTGGAGAGAGAGGTGGGATAATCTTTTTTCTTTTTTTAAGACTTACTTATTTTTACAGAGAGAGAGAGAGAGGGAGAGAAACATCAAAGTGAGAGAGAAACATCGATTGGTTGTCTTTCAACCGGGAACCTGGTCCACAACCCAGGCATGTGCTCTGACTGGGAATTGAACCTGCGGTCTTTCGGTTTGTGGGACAAAACCCAGCCAACTGGGCCACACCAGTCAGGGCAAGATGGAGTAATCTTAACAGAGATGTTCAACAAACATTGGACTTTTCATCCGGAGTTCAGGGAAAAACCAAGCACAGAGACGACAAGTCTGGGAACTCCCAGAATGCGAGTCATAACTGGAGCCAGTTACAGGTGAGAAATGGAGATGGAAGGAGGACAGAACTGTGCTGAGGTACAAAGATGGAAGCAGCTGACTGAGCAAATGACGGAGGAGAGGAGAGCCAAAAGAGAAGACATCATGGCCAGAGTGCAGACTCTGAGTATCGAATATGTTTGCCGTGTTGAGGAAAGGGTGACTGCGATGGGGCTCTCTCCGTTTGGCAGTCAGGAGGCGGCTGGTGACCTCAGACTGTTCGGCTTGTCGGAGAGGAGGAGGGGCATCTAGGCTGCAGGGGCAGAGGAGTGAGTGGTGAGACACTGCAGGTTGAGTGGATCTAGTTGAAATAGTTTGAGGAGAAGGAGAGGGATGAGCTAGTGGCCTCCGGGCATGCTTGTGAGCACGATGGAAGGGGGTAGTGGAATAGGAAGAAGCTGAATAATGTAAAACAAGAGGACTGGTTCTAGGGAAGGCGTGAGAGGTCCAGTCCATCAGTCCAGAACCTCTGATGGGAGCTGGTCCATGAATAAAAGGACAGAAAAGAATGCCAAGACATTTTCAGGTTTTAAAAATAGGAAAGTGCCTGAGTTATTTTCTCTCATTACGTTATCTGGCAAAGGTTAACTGCCAATTGGGGAAGGGCCGAAGCACTGCACACAGAACCTTCTGCAGGGATGGCAATATAGGTATGTCCCCTCTTCCATACGTAGCTGCCAGCCACATGTGGCCACTGAGCATTTGGCTCTTGTGACCAAGAGATTGAGTTTGGTTAATTCATTTCAATTTGAATAACCACATGTAGCATGTGCTAGGGGACTGGATAGTGTGGAGCAGGGATTAGAGGACACTGGAAAAGAATGGCCCCAGCACAGTGCACAGGGTGGCGGGCGGCAAGCTAAGCAGGAAAAGGCTGCCAGAGCTGGTTTCCCTTCAGTGAACGCCATCGGCTGGGTCAGAAGCAGAAATTCCTCTCCAGTCACTGAGTTACTGAGTGACTGCAGCCAAGCTTAGGCACCTCATCTGCTATCTGCAAAGTAAAAACTGGAAGCATCCCAACAGTTTCTAGAATAAATGTACTGAAATTCCAGAGCAGCAATAGGTTAGAAATGCAGCCAAGAGCAGACCCTAAATTACCCACTGAAACTGGGGACTGAAACCAAATAGCCATTATCCACAGATAAGCTCCTGACTTAACTCTTGGGACTTTTTCCTACATCTTACCCTTAAGCTTTTAAACAAGCATTTCAGCTTACCTCTTCACACTCTTTACTGCTTGTTGAGTTACTGATTTGTAAGGAAGGGCAGGCAGGCAAGGAGCCTGGACAGGGCTCACAATCAACTATCGGCAACACTTTCACTAACAGTTTGCTGTGGAAGAGCTGCAGATAACCTGCCTGAAAGGCATTTAATGGCTAACATGATGTTGTGGTTGTTTTATTAGTCCT